ACTCTTCTACTGTGGGATGCTCATTAATAAGCCTGTCACCTACAGGAAACTCCTTTCTGTTAAATGGAGAGAACCGGGGAAGGTAAAGCAGCCAATATTTATTGGACTTCCAGTATCTTCCAGTATCTGCTAGGCAAGTCCATCTTATCTCATTTAATCCCACCACAATCAGGGGATGTAAGAATAACTATTCCAGTTTCACAACCAGCCAAGAGTTAGAGAGAATAATCTAACCAGAGTCTCACAGATGGTGTTTATTTTAATTTTACTTATTTTCTTTTAACTCCTACAGCACCCAGTCTTCCTAGATGGTCTCCCATCAAAGTACTAACCAGGCCCGACCCTGCTTAGCTTCGGAGATCACACAAAATCGGGCATGTTCAGGGTGGCATGGCTGTAGACTCACAGATGGTGTTTAAATGGGAGTTTGTCCCTGTGTGACAGAAAGGAACTTTTAAAAAAATATATTTGTAAGAGTTTATTTGAGCCAAACCGATGACATATGCCAGGGAGCAAGATCTCAAATGCTCCATAGAATAACAGTTTTGCAGCTTCTTTTATGCATTTGAAATAAAAGAGGGGATATAAAGAACATTACTTGGAGGTGGGAGAAAGCATGGCAGTGATTGGATTATAGGATAATTAACAAGAAAGAAACTTAAAAAACAAACTTTTAAAAAAATGTCCATGACCCCTAGAAATTCTGGTTTCAGTGGTCTTTAATACCTCCCCCAGGTGAATGTAAATATACAGCCACGGCTGAGACCACTGATCTAGTTCAGTCTGAACTCTTGACCACTGAGGAAAATTATTGGTCATTATTGCCCTTCTCAGCATGTAGCTGAACTACCTGGTCTTTCTACAAAGAATTCCAGTTTTAAGCTACATGAAAGGTTTTGTTTTGTTTTGTTTTGTTTTGTTTTTTGTTTTGTTTTGTTCTGTTTTGCTCTCCATTGAATCCCCATCACCTAAAACAATGCTTAAAATAAGTAGGCACTTAATGAATATTTGTAGAGGAAATAAGTGAATAAACACTTTCCTGATTTTTATTTCACAAGTACTCATCAAGGGCTAATCTGTGCCAGGCACTGTCCTGCATTCTGGGGATTTAGCACCGAGCAGACCAAGAATATTTTTTCCTGTTAAGGAGCTTCCATTCAAGAGCAGCACTATCATGTAGTAAAAGAAAACAAGTCACATGTGTAATTCTAAATTTTCTAATAGCCACATTAAAAATGTAAAAAAGACAGATGAAATTAATTTTAATATGTTTTGTTTAACACACTATATTCAGAATACTATGTTAACATGTAATCAATATAAAATGATTGACATACTATAAAATTTATCAAATTATTAAAAAATAACAATATTTTGCATTCTTTTTTTGTACTGAGTCTTTGAAATCTGGTGTGCATTTTTCACTCATAGCACATTTCACTCCATTTGAACTAACCCCATGTCAGGGGATTCATAGCCTCATGTGGCCAGTGGCTGCAGTATCAGACATTGCAGTTCTAGAAGGTGAAGTAAACAATAAACAAGTAAACAAGCACATATATAAATAGAAGGGTGGTGAGGGAAGGCCTGTTTAAGAAGGTGGTATCCAGCAACTGAATGACTTAAAGGACAGAAGAGAAATAATAGAACAAATCTTAATCTTCCAGTGTTGAAAATAGGAAATGCGTCTTAAGCACACTTTAAAATACACTTTGTAGCACCTACTCATCAATTGTCAGGGAACTTGTAAAGAAACATCCTAAATTAACAAAGCTCCCTTCCCTGGGCCTCTCCCAGATCCTTCTCCTGGGAGAGGAGAAGGATCCTGACACCCTGCAGCTCTGCTAGCTGCTCTAGTCCCAGAAGCTGGCTGCGAGGCAACATTCTTTTCTTTGAATAGTTACAGAAAAGCCAAATATCTTCCAACTTACTAGCTGAGATAACCGCAGTTCAGGGGTGGTATATTCCTACTGCCAGCATTTGAGATAAACTATAACATGAGAGCATATTCCTGAAAGGCATAGAGATCCTGTGTAATTGAGAGCCACAATCAGAGTCCTGTGATCCTTGCTAGCTAAGCTGAAAGGTTGGGGACTCTCCACAGACAACAAAGACAAAGGTCTCTCTATGGTAGATGGAGCTTTAATATCTTACCATGTTTTGGCCAAAGGAATGGGGGCATTTTTTTAAAAATCATATATTACTAAACACTATATATTATTACATTAATATAATCATATGTTACTAATATGAATATTGCTAATGGTATGTTACTTCATCTTATATTAAGCCCTGTTATCTTAAAGCCAGGTGAAATAGATGATTAAAAATCACATTTAAAAAACTCCCTTAGCTGAAACTCAAATCCATCTAGAAAATATTTAAATATTGAATTATTATTGTAAACATTATCTTTATAACATAGTAAATAGCATAAAATAAATATAAATTACTATTAATTTATTTAAATATCTAAAATAACTTTTCAACACCTGCTTGGGGCAGTTGATATACTGAGATCCATAGCTCTCTCATCTTCAATGTTTTTTTAGGTGAAAGGATTATAATTCATTCTTTTCATCCTCCAATTAATATAACTATCCACCAAAAACCAAGGTTTCATGTTCTGAGGACAGCCATTGTCTTGTTTACATTTCCTTACTTAAGCCTATTCAATTCAATTGGATGAGAAGCCCACTGGGAAAAAATAAACAGATGGTAAAAAGACATTTATTTAGAGCCCATCAGAATAATTACCAATATGAATACAACAGTTATGTTTAAATAGTATTTTTAAATGATATTGTCAATTTGCCAGCACTATCATAAAATACAACATGAATGAATTTATCTTCACTATGACTTTTATTTTATTTCCGACAGTTCCTGTCACTGTAATTGCAACAGAAATTTGCTTTCCTTAAAATTTATATAAACATATTAAGAAGTTGCATATGACAGCATTTAACAGAGTTGACATTACTTGGCAAAGAGGCATGGATAGAGTGGTTAAGAATATGAGTTTGCCTTGCACACCATTAGGGCAAATGAAAATTATTAGTACGGTCACTATGGAAAACAGTATGGGGTTTCTCAAAAAGTTAAGAATAGAACTACAATATGATCCAGCAATACCTCTTCTGAGTATTTACCTGAAAAATATAAAAACACTTATTTGTAAATATACATATATACCCCTATGTTCATTGCAGCATTATTAACAGTAGCAAAGACATGGAAACAACCTAAGTATCCTTTGACCGATCACTGGATAAAAAAGATGTGGTACGTATATAGGATGGAATACTACTTGACCACTGAAAAGGTGCAATATTGCCATTTGTGACAACATGGGTAGATCTTGAGAGTATCGTATCATGCTAAGTGAAATAAGTTAGATGGAAAGAACAAGAACTGTATGATTTCACTCATGTGAAATATAAAACAAAAAAGCAACAAACAAATGAAATAAACCAGAACAAACTCATAGATACAAACAACAGAATGGTGGGTGCCAGAGGGGAAAGGGGAAAAAGGAAGTGTGAAGCAGGTAAAGGAGGTCAAACGTACGGTAACAAAAGGAAACTAGACTTCAGGTGGTGAGCATGCAATAGAGTACACATATGTCAAATTATAATTGTGTACATTTGAAAATCATTTAACGTTATTACCCACTGTTACCCCAATAAATTTAATATTAAAAAGGTTAACTACAGAAAAACAAGAATATGGGTTTGAATTCAGTCCTCCACTCACTGGTTTATGGCCATGACTAGTTAACTTCACTTGAATCTCAGTTTTTCCATCTGTAAAATAGGGATATGATAGTACTTGCCTCTAAGGTTCATCTAAGAACTCACTAAATGTGAGCTCAAGCAACTAAAAAAAGTTGCAAAACTTGTGATGGTTTTGCTAAGTGAGATTATGACCAAGACCATTCTGTTTCTGTTTCCATAATATTTAAAAATTTGAACTAACAGAATGTTATCTTTATTATATTATCATGCTTTGCTATAGATTTACTATTTCAAATATTGTGTATTAATTTTTGTTTTATTGAAAGAAGTGTTCTAGGTATTAGTACATTTTTGCACCCATGAATTGCAAAATAAATGTTTTTGTTGTATATGGTGATGGCAGAGGTAGGGGTGGAGAACAATAGACTTTGTATTAAGGTCCATTTTATGAGTTATAACCCTGAAGGGGAGAATGCTAGGGTTAAATCAGAAATGCTGCTTAGAAAAGGTGACCTAAGAGTTATAATTTTAAGGAGGTGGCTTGTGATCTACAGAGAGGAGAATTTTCACCAAGCCTTTGGTAGGCTGCTAAACTCTAGCTCTTCCAATCAATGATGCAGGCGGAATCCAGAAAGTCGAACCTGAATCTCTGGGCTAAAGTTTGCTGCAAATTTTTCAGAACGAAGATCCCAAAGAATACAATCTTTTGAGTAAGTTTTGGAATTCAAACTGAGGTCGTTAGATTAAAAGTTATACCTGATTTAGAAATTGATTTTATAGATGGTAATTACAAAGTTACCACATCACAATATTACCTTCATTGCTGTGGCATTTCACTAGTTTTTGAAACAGAGTAAAAAGAAAGACACCATGTCTGTGTTAGGGGGTAAAAAAGCAAATCTTTTCTGGAAATGTTCTTGCATACTTGTTCAGAACCATTCCAGGAGATTTCCAGTATGGTTCCAGAAATATAGAACAGAATAAAAGACACTAGCCCAGGGCCTCCACAAATACAAGTCACCTGTTCAATTAAGGCCTTGCAGTCCTGAAGTTCATAAAACTGAACTCCGGCCCTCCTGTCAGTTTCCCATCCAAGCCTGCCCAGTCCTGGCTCTGCGAACTAGCCTGGTCCTCCCACACCTTCCTTCTCCTCATCCTGTCGTCAAAGGTGCTTGCAACACAATAATCTCCAATGGGTCCTGGGTCCCCAAGTCTTCATGATGATGCCATTCTCTTCCCCCGATTAAAGACCAGGATCCTTACCTTCACAAAGGCGAGATTTTCTTTCTTTCTTGTTTTCAAATTTGGGAAGGATGTCAAACTGCATTTCCTTGGCTTTTTAGCATCCATTTTAGTCCTGCAGAAGAAAGAGTAAAAAATAAATTGGCAGCAGGAACAAAATATAAGTAATGGCCCCCATGCCCAGGGATGCGAGGAACATAGGCAGGCTTGGAGAAAGAAAAGTGTCAGGTCTAATAGCAGTGGCTGAGTCTCTGCTGCTCCTTTTGTTTCCCTTCCGGTGGCTGATGAGGTGGGGAGAGGGGACATCTTGGCATTAGTCTTCAAGTGCTCAGGGCGGAGGGAGACAGGACCCAAGGAAGGAAGATGAGCTAATGAGGTGGTAAGCAGTTTAGAACACCAAGTGAAAAGACTCATTTCCCCTTGCTAACTGCAAAGTAAACCATTCTCTTGCCACAAACACCATTTTCCCTAAAATATAGATATACTAGTTGTCACTTGGTAGCTTAATACCTATAGAAAAAGAAAAGGGGGAAATTGGTAGAAATGCTATTCCTGGATCTCATTTGGTCATTTTTGCACCTTCTTCATTCAGAGCACAGCTCTACAAATAATTAACTCACTGCAAGTTGAAAAAAATAACTTGCATAAGTGTATAGAATCTAGTTAAAGTGGTAATTTATGTAAACAGAAGTTAGAGTCTTGGAGGGCTCTCATGCTACTAGTATACTCCTGTTACATTAGCAAACTACAGCTGAGTCTCCACTTCGTGTCTCTTGGAAGTCCCCTTTTGGCCCCTAATACTAGAAAGAACTAAGGAAGTTAAGAATATGTGAAATAGGGACTGAACAGGAACTGATGAGAATGTTATCACAGCTTCTGTAAATTATTCCAATGGTAGGTTCTTACAGACACAATGAATGATAAATAGTAACATCACAATTTTGAAGTTATTTACAAGACTGAAGACAAGTCACACCAACAGTTATTGCAGCATAATGTTGAAAAAATCAGAAATTACTTTTCTATATGTAATGAGTTTAAAAATATGCCACAGACGTATTATGGAACATGACACAGTCATTTTTAAAAATGAGATAAAGCTTTATGTATGTCCATAATACATTGAGTAAACAGAAAAATATGTATAATTCCATATTTATTTAAGAAAAAAAAACAAGATGTTTTCATGTCTTTATCAGGCATATTGAAAGATCTAGAAAATAAACTATATAAAGTTTATTGAGAAGTGGAGCTGGAGGAAGTGAGTGGGAACATTAATTTTAACACACACTCACACCCGATAATATGAAAAAATGATGCAAAGGCAAACAAAAAGTAGAAGTCGCTTCCCTGCAAAATGATCCCAGTTTCATTCCTTCCTTCCCTTCCTTTCTACAAATATTTGCTCATTATCTAGAAGAGACACACGTAAGCAGGTTATTAGAGTGCCCATGGTCATGCAGTCCTACAGGCCTGTGCAAAGAGTTAATGCAGCGCCCTTCAGGATGGTGACTGAGTATGTTGAAAAAGCTTAGGAAGTCCTCACACCTGAGTAGAGTTGAACTGTCCTTGAAGAATAAACAGAATAGGCATGGAGTCAAGGGTAGATGGATGAGACAGTGCAAAGCATAAAAGTACAAAAGAGCATTGCGTTTTCCAGAAACTTCTAGTATAGTTACTGGACACCAAGAGAGGAGGTAAGATTATAGAGTCGCATAGTCCATGTAGGGCATTGGGGCATATGTGGCTATTCTAAGGGTGACAAGGCCAGATTTGTATTTTAGGACCATCTGTCTGGTAATAACATGGAGCATGGTTTGGAGGAGCCCAGGTAGGAAGTTATCTTGAGTACCTAGACAAAAGATGATGAGGGCCTCCACCAAGGCAATGACAAGGAGGACAGAGTGGAAGGATGAACTTGGGAATAATTTTGGAGACAGAACTGGTAGACTTTGACCATCAATTCAGCATAGGGTTTGTAAAATCCAAACACTAGGGTGAATGAATACAATTTTTCCTGCCAAAGCTCTGTGTCAAATGTTCTCTCCATCTACTTCACAAGGAAGTAGAAGACAATAAAAGTCGATGTGCATCTTTCTAAGGAAGTGGAGCTCTTTCTTCTGTTTAGTTTTTGTAGCTCTGTAGGTGAAGAGAACCTGACATCCAAGGAAGATGCTGAAAAATCTTGGAGTCCAGTTTCAGTGCCGCCCCAGACAGATTTTGAGCAAGTCACTCATCTTCTCTATACTGTGTTCCCATCTGTAAAATGATGAGACTGGACCAGATGACCTCTAATTTCCCTTCCAGTTCTAAGCTTCTTTGGTTCTAATTCTATTAAATTCTGCCAGATTGGGGCAGCGGAGGGGGAGGGGGAAGGAGGTGGTAAAGAGAGTTCTGTTGTGACTTATTCCATGAATTCTCTCCTTTGGATAATTTTGTGGTTACTAAAGACTGTTTTAAGCCTTTCTTAATGCATTCACTCTGGCTTTCACTTAACCCGTTACACTTAACCAACACTCAAAGAATCACAAATGCCACTTTTTATCCTCAAAAGATGTGGTGAGCTATGTAGGAAAGGAATTAAAATATGTTGTTTATACCTGTTGTGTGAATGATGAAAAATAATAAACTCAGCTTAGCGCTAGAGTGAATATGGCTTTGAGAACTGAAACCAAAAAATTTCTCCTATTGTTTTACATTAAGACCAGAGTTTCTCTACCAAACTATACCAGCCTATACCAATCTCCTTTCTTTGGATTTCAACACTTTCATCTGTGGGAAACATTTTGTCATTTGGTCAATAGCTTTAGTGTTAATTGTATTAGATGTATATATTTTCGTCTCATCTTGATTGTGAGTCTCTTGGGAACAGGGATGATGAGCTTGTATTTAATTTAATTTTTTTATATTTCTCATAGGGTTGAGGACAATGGCTTGTCTATTGAAAGCTCTTGGTACAAATTTGTCAAAGAAGGAGAAATCTAAGATCAATACATCAAAAAACTTCAGGCCACCATGTGCTAAGTGTGGGGAATTCAAAGATAAGTAAAACAGAATTCTTGCTTTCAGGAGTTCAAAGTCTGGTGGGCAAGACCCATAAGCAGTAGTGACGGTGTGTTACCACATGCACAGTATTTTATGCATAATGTATTATCTATGTATACCAAACTTCAGTGCCCAGAAAGGAAATATCTCTTTGAGATTTATCCATTATTATTTCAGTATTTCTACTTCAATAGTCAGTACCTTGACTTTTATTCCCTGGGGGCCTAGCTATGGGGCAGAAATTGTGGCCATGTAAGATGTTCAGAGATGCCCTTTGTATTTCTGTTAACAGTAGATAATGTACTTAATGTATTTGTTACTCTCTCTTCTGCCAAAGGGAAGTCCCTAGCCCCCTGGAATTCTCCTTAAAACTCTTCATGGTCCATGGATTCACAGACCCTTAGGAGCTGAAGAAGGTTTTAGAGGGCTTCTTACCCATTTTTCTACCCTCGGCTATGTAGGAAAGGAATTAAAATGTTTTATATCTTGTTTATACCTGTTGTGTGAAGGATTCCTTGGCAAGAATCCTCTATAGAGCAGGGGTAACAGTCTGTGGCCTGTTAATTACCAGGCCTCACAGCAGGAGGTGAGTGGCGGGTAAGGGAGCGAAGCTTCATCTATATTTGCAGCCGCTCCCCAGTGCTAGCATCATTGCCTCAGCTCTACCTCAGATCATCAGGCTTTAGATTCTCATAGGAGCACTGGTCGGTCCCTAGTGCCAAAAAAGGTCGGGACCACTGCTAGAGTATTCATGGGGATCAGTCTCTGCTTGAATATTTCTGTGACAGAGCCCATGGTTTTTCCAGGCACCCCATTTCACACCCAGCTGTTAGTTTACATATGGTTGGTACTCAGTAAGTGTTGGTTGGAAGAAATGATGTTGAGCAACATATCCTCCACTGACACTTATTATCCTCTGCAGAATAATGACAACAAAAAATCTATCCTCTCTTCTACTCAAGGGTTCTTAAATATTCAGAATAGTGGCTTTTTGCCTTCCTAGCACCTACTAATCTCCAGGCATTCAGCAGTTTTATTTCAAACCCCTCATATAATAGAGAATCTAAGCATAATAGAGACAACCTATTGTGATCGTCCCTCTCTGTTTTCTAACTTTTTTTAATGACCTCTCTTAAAGTAGCTACAGGCTTCTAGTCTAGATTATGTTATAATCAATGCTAAATTAGGCAGTGAGAACTTTACATCTCTCATCTGGTCACTATATTTCTATTAATGTACCCTAGACCAGTATTTACTTTTTTGAGTTATCACAACACACTCATGTTGGAGGTAGGGTCAGCTGAAACCACTGACTTCCAGCACTGGGTCCTCCCAAGTTTGAGAAGCACACATTCTAGACAAGTTGCTTCTGGCAATATGGAGTTGGAGAGGAAAACTTTCAGGGAAGAGTGGCTGGAACATTGTTAGAAGCTCTCTTCAGCTTTGTCATTACCCTCTTGATAAGGACTAAAACAAAGAAAGGAAATAAACTCAAATCACAGAACCAATCAGGCACAGTCCATGCTTGAGCAATTCCATGGAACTCTTGGATTTTATGCACCTACTACATGTAGGTGATTAAATCCCTCAGGCAAGACTGGTCACAAAAGACACATTTGTCCTTTCATAGTTTGAACTTTCCATTTAAATAACCTCACACTTTCGCCAAGTCCTTTTAAGCCTGAACAGTGAAATTTGGATTAAGATTGACTGTCAGTCATTTAACATATCAGAGGAGTCACAAGTTACCTAGCTAAGCCCTGAATTGGCTGGTGGCCTTTTCAAACATAGCAAATACCACAAATTAATTAGACTTTAAAAAATTCCCCAGATCTGCACCATTCATCCCCCTTTTAAGGAAAATAAAATTGCTAATACTGGGAATTACCCTAGAGGGGCAAGTACCACTTGAGAGGCAAGTGTTGCTCCGGGATGTACGATTCACACACACCTAAGGTGATGAAACATGCAGTGGAGATAAAAACAGGGGAAGAAAGTTTTGAGCCCCAAGTTGTTAGGGGCAAGGATGGAAGCATTTTCAGAGTAGGTCTTATGAGTTCTCCAAAATCCATCTCTCCCCACCCAGCAGTCAGCCTGTCAGCGATGCGACGTTCCATTAAGTTTATCGATATTGGATTGTGAGGATGCAGCTGTTCAGGTCAAAATCTAAAATTGTACCCGCCTTCTCTCCACACTCACACGCCCCGTTCTACTTTTTTGTATTCTGTGTACCTTTCACTCTCCCCGCTTCCCCCACCTCCTTCCCCATTGCCTTAAGAAGATCCTTCCCCTCGACGGGCCGCTGGGACCCGGCAGCCTCAGCCCCGCGCGGGATTTCGCCCTTACTTTGTTCCGGTGCCGGTAAGAGGTGGGAGGAGCTGCATCAGGCTGGCGCAGATTGACCGGCCCTTGCAGGGGGCTCGGACCAGTAACCTGCGGAGTGCAGGTGGAGGACCACACCCTCCTCCCGTCGCTATAGAAACTATTTCCGCCCTTTTTGTGACTCCGGAGCTGAAGACTTAAAGCTCTAGTCCGGTCCGAAACCACCCTACACATGGACCTGAAAAAAAACCCCAACATCTCTTTTCCTCCTTTCTTTTTCTTGCCCGAGTTCTTTCAAGTTTGGGACAAGAACTGAAGAACTTCCAGAGGACAGAGATTAGAGATGACCAAACAGACTAGACTCCCGAAATTATCCCTCCCCTCTCACTCTTCAAAGTTTGTGGTTACTGGAAGCTCATAGCAAAAGTTCTGGATATAACGTATTCATCAGATGAACACTTTTTGAGCACTTACTCTGCACCAGGTTTTAAAAGCAGGACAATTAAGGAAAGTTATATTTGAATGATGGTAGTGTGGCCTGGAGGAACACAAAGTGGTCCATGGAGGTAACAGACATCCAACTAAAAGATTTTGGAAAGAGCCGAGTTTGAGTTTTCAAGGACAAGTAGGAGTTAGCAATGTAAAGAGGGAAAATATGAGCCAGTCTGAAGGCCCAGGGCCACGGGATGTATTGAACCATGGATGTCTGCACTGTTTGGTGCAGCAGGAGTCAGCCACATTCAAAATGTCTCATGAACTAAATGAGACAAGGTATGAGTGTTTAGATTTTAAGCAGAGGGGTATTCGGGCTTAGATTTTATTTTAGAAAACTCCTTCTGGCAATAATGGTAGAGAAGGCAGGCCAGAGTACATTAAGAATCAAGGCAAAGATGCCTGTTAGAAGTAGTAAGTGATGATGTTTCAGAGTAAGGAACAGCAAGCTTTAAACAACTGAGAAAATGGAATAGAGCTTGGTGACTAGATGTGAAGGGTTATGTCTTAGGCACCCAACTTTGTGGTAGTGCCATTTACTAACAGAAAATATAGGAGGGAAAACATTGGGGGTAGGGGAAGATGTTACTGATTTAGTGATGACTCACTGAGTTATCAATGGACCAGGCAAGAGGTCTTGTGCAGAGCAAGGTCTGGGCTAAAGATCCTGCCTTGGCAGTCACTGTCACATAAGTGACCACTAGAGCTTGAACTAAACTTTTTTTTTTTTTTTTTTTTTTAAGGTTGGGGGAGGAGAATGAAATCATAGAATATAACACTATGGTGGGAAGAAGGGTATAGATGACACAAAAGATTAGAAAGCTGCAAAATAATGGAAAGTAAAGGTGCAAAATAATGAAGAGTAGGCAGGGAGATGGGGAGAAAATTACAGAATACTGTCATGTGAGCCTAGGAAATAAAATACATTGAGTATGATGAATAGGGTATATTAGATTAGGTGAGAAAAACATACTGCATTTGGCAACAAGAAGGTCATTAGTGCTTTCTATCAGGCCAATCTTAACAAATTTGATGGTAATATTCAGTAGAAACTATGAAATGGAGAAAACAGGTTCATCAAGCCAGTGCCAAATGATTAATCAATGAAATCAGTAACTAATACAGGGTAGGCTCTTAATAAATGTTTAATGTTGAACTGCAACACGTAGAGTATGTTTTAGAAAGGGGGTGGGGTTGGGTAGGTGAGGTAGTATACAACAGTATAAAAATATACACTAGAAAAGAAAAGAATGTACAATGGCAATAAGCAAATGCTCACTTTAATCATAATTCTAAATTACTTGTTTTCACATTAACATAGATGTTTCCATAAACCAAGAAACACTGAGCTAAGTATTATACATTTTTTAATAGTTAACATGATTTGAAGAATTCTTATTAAAAGTGATCAGGAGCGGGTTGAAATTCTCATCATAAATACAAGGTATCTATTATTATTTTTATTCACAACAAAGTTTCCTGATCTAAGTTTTTAGACCTAAGTTTCCCGAATAGCTATATTATCTAATACCAAAACAGAGATGACTAGATACTTGACAACCACCCTCTAAAGCAATGACTTACATAAAGTGATTACTTTAACAGCGCCCCCCCCCCCATATTTACAACAAAAGGCTAATATTTTTTTGCCAGGCATTCATTTTATCATGAAATTTAGACAGCCAGAGACAGATGGATATAATGGTATTAAGAAAAAGAGCATATCAAAACTTCTTCATTTTTATTAAAGATTTTTGACAATAAGGGCTTCATAAAATGTCAAGAAATTCTATTTGCTATACAATAACCATCTATGTCTAAGTAGGAGACATATGCAACTGTTTTAATGTGTAAAATAATTCTGAATTCTTACTGTAAAAATATTTGGCTAAAATACGAAACATATTTGCAATAAAACTGATAATGTAGCTTAAGTAATGTACCAGGTTTCAGAAATGTCTGGGGTTGGGGGAAAGGGAATGTTTCCTTTTGCCAGATAAACTGTGAACTAAGCTAAGGTGCTGTTAACCAGACAAAGCTAGAAAGAAAGCTCATGTTACTAGAAAAGAACAGCATGTCACATGGACTTTCTCTGTGTCAAACTGACAACCACTTAATGACAATGACTTATTATACATAAGGAAAATAGAATATACTTTTCAAAAAGAAATGACATTATAAGATAATTCATACAAATAAACTTCTTATTGAAATATTGAACAGCTTTCCAGAGAACATAATCACAAAAGGGTAGAAATTAATTTGCTTGACACTAAAGAATTCCTTTATAGTACAATACTCTCCTTAAATGTAAACACAAATCAAATATAAACACACTTGTAAAACTGTGACTCTGTTAATCAAACATTTCTTTACTACCACACTCAGCTACTAGCGGCATTTGGATGCAAAGGTTTAACTCGTGCTAATCTGGACAAGCCAAGGCGGAGACTCTGATTTGGGGACTTAACAGACACCCCTGCCAGTGGGTTGCTGCTGTTGCTGCTACTTCCAGATACCGCTGAAAGAAAACATATCACTTGATGATGATAGTGTCAGAAATCTCTTAAAAAAATAAATGTATAAAACAAAAGCAAAAAACATAGCTAAACATTATTCTGCTATACAGGTTCTATCAAGTTATCAACAAAAACAAAAGAATGAAAAGTACTAAAGAGCAGAAAAATTATAGTATCGCCTACTTTCAAACATGCCTAAAGGGCAAGGAAATGATATACCAAAAGCTTTAAGCGTGAAAGCTGAAGCAGTTTAAGTTGGGAGTGAATAACACTGGTTGTAAAGGCATAAAGAAATAAATGCAATTATAATTTCTAAAGTCGTAGAAAAATCTAATGCTTTTTAAAATCCTGAAATTTTTATAAGTATTCCTTTGAAAGAATCTATTTTTTCAAATACTAAGTAACTTTAAACATGACAAATGCCATTTTTATTTATTTATACTGGTTTCATTATGCTAGCACTCCAATGTAGCAACTATTTCCATCAAGTATTAAATTTAAACTTTATCCACGTAAGTGTTCATGGCAGATCATGACTAAAGTCATAATAAGTACAACTATGTGTACTTTTTTCAAATGAAAATTTATAAACATTTCCATGTTTCTAACCATCTGACTTATTATTCTCAATTGCATGCATGTGCTGTATATCAAATTCTTTCACAAACTTTTGGGCTGTTTCTAGTTTCTCACCGTTTTTCTATAAATAGTTATAAAAATCTAATCACTTATTACTTTTTCTTCTTTTGAATTCTTTTTTTGGGAATAAGTTCCCAAGACTAGCTCTTAGGCCAAAGGACAGATTTATTTTTATGGCCCTTGTCCTATAAAAGGATTATAAGTTTATAGTAAATAATTATACCCCACAACCCAGAGTGGACTGGATTATATTGTTTTATTATTTTCTAGTTTGAGAGGTATAAAAAAGTATTTTATTATTTTAATTTATATTTCCTCAATTAACATTGAGACTGAAATTCTCTTTGAATTCATTTCTCATTGTATTTCTTGGGGCATTAGTACGTTTATGTCTGTGGCTCATTTTCCCATTGGGGTGTTGGTGGTCTTCTCAGATTTGTAAAAACAGGTAAATAAGTAACTGGCAACTCGAGGGTCAAATCTAGCTCTCAAAAATACTGTTTGGTCCACATGGTATAAAAAAATGTCAACTTTTAAAAACTAGGAGATTTCATTAAAATCTAGATGTCTGGCTTCTCTTGAAACAAAAGTCAGATCTGGAAATACCAGGTCCATCATCCGCATGTAAACAATTTGATGGAGCTGAGTGACAGCTGTTTCCTTCCAAAGAGGCATGAGCTCTAAGTCCAACAATCGCTGGTCACTCGAGTTTAGTACATGGGCCCAATTTCCTCATACACTTCACTTGCTCTACCCTTTCACATAATAAATCTATAAGCACTCTGTGCTTTATGATATTAACTCTTGATCCATCATTCCATTATTTCCTTTTTATTTTTATTTTATTTTTTTATTATGCTACCTTTAAATTTCTATAGTCATTATATCATTTCTTTTAAATTTCTATTGTTGGGGAATCACTAATTATTCTCAGAAAAAATATGCTAAGGATTATCCTTCAAACCGTAAAGCATCATTATTTCAGTAACTAGTCTTCCTCCTTACCTTCTCCAAAAAACTATTAAGTCCTCATTAAAATTCTAGAATTTTTTTTTAGTCAGGAAAAGACTTTAAAGATTATATAGTGCCTAATATCTGAGATGATGAAATGAAGATTTAGAAATTAAGTAATCCGGCAGTCTCAGGCTAAACCTGTCTCTTAATACCTAGTATGACTAGGGCAGTGACCACTGTGGACCAATCAAGAAATGTCATTGAAAAGAAGTAAACCTAAGTAGACTTGGATTTACTTAGAAGAAACAAATGAAGAAACATACCAGAGGAGAAAACTAGATAAGAGAGGCTCTAAGAATATATACACTGTGTTTAAGGAACAACAACAAAAAAGGTATCAATTTCATTGGAGTAGAGAATTCATGTGGTTGGATAAGGGAAAGGTGAAACAGGACTAGCTAGGAAGTCACCAATAGTTTGAGTATAAAATGAACAGGGCCTGGATTTGGGTTTTAATAATGTCAAGAAAGGTGAAGGTCAAAGAATTCTTGGAGCATCAGTGGTGCTTGGCTGTGGAACAAAAGAAAACAGAAAGAAGTCAAGTTTGCATGGGCTGGAGGGTGAGTTTGCTAGGGCACGTGTTAAATGCTGGAATTCCCAAGTACGGGCCCCGATGCTTCAGTCAGACTGTGGGGGTCAAGCAGGTTTTCAGCAAACCAATTTGTTGCCAAAAATATATGTCAGGAACTTTAAATGTTAATACTCTTTAACACTGTAATTCTATTAGGAATTTATCCTAAGAAATATTCAGGGATGTACCCACGGATTTCTAGAATAAGAATGTCTATGCTTATTGCAACCTTATTTATAACACTGAAAAAATACTAAACAATCAGGATGCTCAACATGAGGGAGTGAGAAATAATGAACCAATGTAAAACCTTGGTTTTGAAGAAATTGTAATAATATGTATAACATTTACAGCTAGAAAAACAATCTACAGTGGTAATTTTCTAAGTGGTAATTTTCCTTCCCTTGATCAATAAATATATCATACCTGGTGGGACCCACTTAGGTCTCCTGCTTTCAGTTGAAGGACTGCGTATTTGTACTGGTTTCCTAGTGGCCTCTGAAGAATGAGAAACCTTTTTCGGTGAGGGCTGAGATTCTGATTTGACAGCAGCTGGAGCAGAGTCTACTGAAGTCATTTATTTGAAAAAGATTTATAAAAAAGTTTGTCAAGAGGAAGATTAAGTCTGGTATGTATGTGCAAAAATTATAGTTACGTAATCTTATAAAAATTAAAAAGGCAGTATTACTTTGAAAAACTCTTCTTAATCGACATTTATTAAGAACCCATTAGCCATCGTTTATAAGTATTTATACGATAGGTGCTATAGTAAGCATATCATATACATTACCTTTAACTCTTAGAGCAACTCTGACACAAATATTACTGTCTCCGTTGTCAGATAAGGAAACAGAGAAGTTAATCAATCTGCCTACAGTTTGACAGCTAGTAAATATTAGAGCCAGGATTAGGAACCAGGTCTGATTCCAAAGTTCATACTTCTAAACATTACAACAGTGTCTCATCAATATATGTCAATGAGACAATATATTAGACTCCAGGGTTACAACGAGTATATAATTCATGGATCCTGCTCCTAAGGAATTCCTATGGACCATACGAGGGAACCTATAATCTGTGTATATATTTGCACAGATTTAGAAGTCACAGGAGGTGGGTGAGGATAATTTGAGCCAAATCAAGGCTAGAAGGTAAAGATAACTTAGAGGAAGTTTTTCCAGGCAGAAGGAGTACAGCATGCAAAGCTGGATGATGTAGCAAGTTCCATAACCAACTACTGTTCAGTATGGCTGGAGCAAGAATGGCAAGGGTGAGAAAGGTAAGAAATAAAGACAGGGAAGATCACTGATGAATAGCTTTACATACCAGTGAAGGAATCATGTATTCATTTTTTTGGGGAGCACTTGCATTTTGAAAACTAACATCTTTCTGGTGGCAGCGTATGGCAACTAGACTACTGAGAAGGCTCTTATGGTGAGAGGTGATAGAGCCTGAACTAAGGGGGAGAATGGAGGAAAGAAACAGCAGACTAGATAACTTTTAGTAATTAGATGTGGGGAGGTGGTGATGGAGATGAAATAATCATGACTTGCAAGTTCTTGTCATGGGCTCACTGCTTGATGGTGCCATTAAACCAGAAAATAAATACAAGAATGGGAGTAGGTGTCTTTTTTTTTCTTGAGGCGGGGAGGAGAGGTAGAATATAAATTCACTTTCAGATAACGCTTGCTTTGAGTACGATACCTAAGGGGCATCTAAATGCATATGAATATGAACATTTTCACTACATACTTTTCTTAATGTTAACATTTATATTCCCTAGATCAGCACTGTCCAACAGCTTTTCTGAGATGATAGAAATGTTCTATTTTGTGCTGTGCAATTCAGTAGCCACTAGCCACATATTGTTATTGAGCACTTGAAAAGTAGTTAGCTAAATCAAAGAATTGACCATTATATTTTATTTAATTTTAATGAACTTAAGTGTAATATAGCTACATGTGGTGAGTGGCTACCACATTGGACAGCTTGAAATCTCTTCTTTCAAGGGAAAAATTATCACATGTACTAGATGAAAGACTCTCATAGGCTATTCAATACATTATTAGTGGAACAAGAAATATCCATCTTTCATAATTTTTAATCTCATTATTTAGGAGTTAAATTTTACTTCTAATATGATATAGTAAACTTCTTTGTGAAGCAACTTGCTCCAAGGTATATAAAAACTTTATATGGTAAATTCCAACTTGGAAACTGAAAGTTTTAGTTTTTAGTGTATTTTGGGGAGGGAAGCATAAACAAACATCTAAAGAAAATATAAAACATATTCATATAGTTAATGACTTGCATATCACAGTTTGTGGTAGGCAGAATGACCCCTCAAAAACATCAATATCCCCATTCCCAGAGTATGTGCATAGCAAAGAGACTTAGCAGATGTCATTAAGTTAAGGCTCTTGAGATGGGGAGATTATCCTGAATTATCCAGATTGGCCTAATACACATAAGGGTCCTTATAAGTGAAAGTGAGAGGCAGGGGAGCGAGAGCAACTCCCACCGTTAGTAAAGGAGTCTGAATAACAATATTTTAGTTTCAAATAGTGTATATATTAAACTAAGATATAAAAATATTTATCAATAAATAAAACAAATCAGATTAATGAAAGTTATGTTATAATAAACTATCGCATATTATGAACTCAAAAACATCCTAACTTCTTTTACAAAAGAAACAGGTATTCCATGTTCAAGTTGTCACAAATTCCAAAAGTTTTATCGTAAAAATGGTTTCTAATGGAAGTTGTTTTGAAAAAACCAAAGGGCCCTAAACTTGTAGTAAAACAGTTCTCAAGTCAAAGAGTAAGGCAAGCATGAAAGCAAGAAATTAAAATCATAGAAAGTTCCCCGTTTAATTGCCCGGAGAAAATGTGGTCCAGTGGATAGAATTTAGGCTCTGAATGGATAAACACGGGTGCAAATTTTAGCCACTTACTTATTAATTGTAAGAATTCTAACAATTAACCTCTCTGAGCCTTGATTTTCTCATTGTAAAATACAGGTGATAATAGCTATCTAGAGGGTATCTGTCAGTGGTAATACATAGGAAGTGCTAGAAAGAAGTGGAGCTCAGTACACTTGTCTGATGTTTTCCACCCCACTCTGCTTTCTTCTATGTACTTTAATTAGAAAAGAATGCTGGCCAACTGTTAAGGAGAACAAAGGTAAAGACAAGAAATACCCATTAAATAAATCAAATACATTTCCTTTATAAAGTTAAGTGTTTTGTACTAAGCTTACCCAAAGCATTACATTTGGATTTAGATTTCTTCTCTTTCTTTTCAACTGAGGATTTAACCTTCACTTCTTTCTTTCTAATTTCTTTAACTTTACTTTTTCTCATAGTGAAGTCTTCATCATCATCTTCACTCTCACTAAAATCAGAATCATCTTCAGAATCTTCACCTAAAACAGCAGATTACATACTTTATCTCTGTTGTAAAAACTGAGGCATCTACTTCCTTGACTTTACCCACAGCTTTGGCACCAGATTTTGTGCACCTTTGTGCTAAGCCATTTCCAGTGGCAAAACACCGCACAGTTGCCTGGGTTTGAATCCTGGCCCCTCCACTTACACATTGTGTGACCTCAGACAGGTCACTCGCTAACTGCACTGTGCCTCAGTTTCCTATGTATAAAATGGAGATAACCATAAAACCTACATCATAGGGTTGTTGTGTGGATTAAACTGGTTAATACAGGTAAAGCATTTAGAATAGCATTTGACATACAGCAAGCAAAATACAATTGTTTGCTATTACTATTATCATTATCATTTTCTATCAGTAATCTTTACTTCCAATTTTACCAGTTTAACTCAGTAACTTTTGAAAAGAATGGTAAGGTATAAGGTTAGCTACTCTTTCAAAATGAGAATCTTGATGGTAATAATAACAGTACACTTTCCCTTAATCACCTAAACTTCAACATTCTAGAATAGAAACACATTGGGAATTGAGTAGAGACTAACTATACCACAACAATTTTAACAGATAATCCTATATACGATTTCATTTGGAACACATATCTAATTTCCCACAAACTCTTTTCTGTACTGCATGAGACAATATAAGCCAGGGATTTAATATGTTAAGGAAGCACAGATACTCTGGAAAAAAGTATAGAGGATATCTGATAGTTAAGCAGCATATGGTTATTGAAGAAGATGTAGACTATACAAAAAATGTATTAAGGAAAAAAAAGTCCACTCTCTAATTTCACCACCCAGAGATAACAACTCTTATGTCCACCATAAATAATATCTACCTATCTATATGAAATATATTTTATATAAAAATATGAAATATTTCAAACATATTTCAATAGTCAATAATAAACTATTCAACAATCATCAATATTTTGGTGGATTTGTTTCATCTATCTCTTTTTTCTTTTCTCTTCTCTTTCCTTCTTGGAGTATATTAAAATAAATCCAAGGCTTCATATCATTATACTCTTATATGCTTTAGAATGCATCTCTAAAAAACATAGATCTTTTTTTAAACAAAATAATGTCATTATGATATCTAATGATGTCAACAATAATTTCTTGGTATCATCTTCTACCTAGTCCAATCAATGACTTTTAATATAGAACAATATTCTCTCCTTTTCCCCTTGCCTTTGACTTGTTGAAATAATCACATCAGTTGTCCAATAAAAAGTTCCAGATTCTGAATTTGTCTGTTTACTTCCTCATGGTGTCACTTAATTTATTCTTGCATATTCTGTGAGCTGGAATTTTCTCAAGACTCAATTAGAATCAGGCTCACCTTATTATTATTATTTTTTTTGGCAAGAATACACTTCATAGGTGATGCTCTTTACTTCGTATTATATCATATCAGAAAGCACATAACGTATGGTTGTCCCACTCTTTGTTGGTTCAACAGACACCAGCCTGAATTCTCCATAGTAAAGATCCTCATCAGCCTTCCATTGATGCTCTTTGCCTAATTAATGATGATCATTATGAACTTTAAATTGCAAATTTCCTTTTTCTGTCATTCTTTCCACACAAATAAAATTTTTAAAAAAGATAAGAGTAATCAATCTACATATTCACATAATGATTACTGTGTTATATAGAATTAGCCATATAAGATCATCAGATCACATAAAGGCGGTTATGAATAGCACCTTGCAAAATCAAGTAATTATTTCTAGAATCCCAAGAGGATCTAGGTTCAGGGAATGGCAAGTAGTGGAGAAGTTTCTCCAAAATTTCAGAATAGAAAATCTAGGAAGACAAAACTTCCTACATATCTAACAGTTCTAGTATTGCATGTGTTCTTTTCTTGGCTTGAGAAGATAAATGGTAGCAGCTGGGTATAATAAATGCATTCTTTCCTGCTTTTAATGTTTTCTATATCCTAAATCACTGTTCAACAGTACAGAACTTAAAAATCTATTCTCTCAAAACTATGGCTCACATTTCAGCTCAAAAATATTTGTTTACACAGAATTGAATAAGAAAAAAACTTGGAACCAAGAAATTTACTTTTTAAAATAATTATTTTCTTAAATTTTTTTTAACTGTGGTATAAAAAACCATGTAACATAAAATGTACTGTCTTAGCCATTTTTAAGCGTACAGATCAGTAGTGTTAAGTATGTACATTTGAATTGTTGTGCAACAGACCTCCAAAACTTTTACATGGGACAAAACAGAGATCCCATATCCATTGAACAAAAACTCCCCACTCCTCCTCCCCCAATCTCTGCTAACCAACTTTCTACTTTCTGTTTCTATGAATTCAACTATTTTATATACCTTAAGTAAGTGGAATCACACGGCATTGCCTTTGTGACTGGCTGAGTTCACTTAACAAGTCTTCAAGGTTCATCCAAGGTGTGGCATGTGACAGGACTTCCTTCCTTTTTAAGGTTGAATAATATTCCATTGTATGTATATACGCATTTTGTTTATCCATTCATCTGTCCATGGATATCTGGGCTGCTTCCACCTCTGGGCTATTGTTAATAATGCTGCTATGAACATGGGTATGCAAATATCTGACACCCTGCTTTCAATTCTTTTGGATAGACATCCAGAAGTGGGAACGCTGGATCACATTGTAGTTCATTTTTTGAATAGCTGTCATACTATTTTCCATAGCAGTTGCATCATTTTACACCAACAGCGATTAGGATCCTAATTTCTCCACATCCTCACCAACACTTGTTATTTTCTATTTTTTGACATCTTAATGGGTGTGAAATATCTCATTGTCATTTGGATTTGTATTTCTCTAATGATTAGTGATATTGAGCATCTTTCCATGTGCTTTTTTTGGCCATTTGTGTATCATCTTTGGAGAAATGTCTATTCAAGTCCTTGACTGTTTCCTTTTAAGAGCCAAGGGGTGATTTTAAAGTCACTATCCAAGTCATGATTTCCATAAAACTTACTATTATAAAATGGTTTAAGAGAGAAGTTAGAATGCAAATAACACAATCTTATTGTTTTTAAATATCTATCATATCTCTGGAAACATAACCCATGAATTCCATAAACCCAACAAACGAAGCAAGTGATTTCACTTCCACATATGTAACAAACGTTTTGATGCTTGTTCTGTTATGCTTCTTGAAGGTATTTTCTTTCATTGGTTCCTACTTTTTGATGCTCCATTTATATTAGTATTTCTCAAAGTAATATCATACACCACTTCCCTTGGGATCACAGGGGTCACGTGGAGGAACAGGTATTGGTTAAAAAGGCAGAGCCTGGGCTCTGCTCTGCCTTCCTCTCCTTCATAGCTCTTCTACGATGGCACTTGACACATTATGGGCAGCAGGACCTCAAATAACATCATTTTATTCAATGCTGTTTCATTATAACAAAGATGAGATGCTACAGGAACTTAACTCTTGTTTATCAATTAGCCTATGATAAAATTGGTTTCATTATACGTCATTTCACTTAAAGTTGCAGAACCCATTGACAATGTTAAGGGAGAAGTTAACCGTATTTGATTATTGTCCGTGTCCCCTCACTAAAATTTAAGCTTCTTAAGGGAACTCTGTTCTGTTCACTGCTGTATTACTAGTATCTAGAATATAGTGCACATAACAGGCACTCAAATATTTATGGAATAAATGTTGATGAAAAAAATGTGTTATTGTTTGATGCACTGTCAAGGTCACTATGCTTCCCATTTGCCTGAATTTCTGAATGGGTCTGAAAACAACTGTCATAATAAAACTGAGTTTTCAAATCACTTCTACCAAAAATATTTCATGAATATCTACTACTTACAGAAAAAGTCTACACTTCTTGGAATGAGTCCGAAACCCTTCATGATTTAGTGCCAGCCTGCTACAACGTTCTTCCCTGCAAGCCTCACTGCACTCTCATTTGGGTACTTATCTATCCCATTATTTATGCCTATTAGTCAGAAATGCTACTTTACCCCTTTTGTTTGCCTAAATGCTACTCATTTTTCAAGGCATGGCTTAAAGGTCACTTCCAGATAATGTTTTCTCCCCAAATACCACAGTTGAATTTAACTGTCTTATGTGTTCCTCAGATTTGCATACACCAAACATTTAGCACACTGCTTTGCATACATTAATGGTCTCTAAGAACATTTTACTGACTGTCCATAGAATTACTTTTGAGGTAGGATATAACTTACCCGTTGCAAAGTCTGGTTCAGAATCATTAGCACTATCGCCATCACTGCCTTCCAAAATTTTCCTCTGTTGTACCACAGCTTGAGATGCTGCTTTTCTTCTCCCCTGAGCACCATGAAAATCATCTTCCTCAGTAATCTTATCCAAATCTTCAGGGGAAGCACAGAAATCAATAGAAAACTTTTGTGACAGGTAATATTTCAAGAACTGGAAGTAGACTCCTTTTACATAGGTTGTTTTTGTTTGTCCAGCTTGATCCCATCCCTACCTCTAGTGATAAGACAATATAGCCCAATCTGGGCCAATCATAATGAGTTTCCTGGCAACAGAGTCTGGTTTAAGGATAAGGCCAAGACTCAAAATGAGAGTGTCTTTCCCCAAGAATTTTCAAACTGGAAATGTGAAAATACAGCCCCTTTCTTCAGTGGTCAACTGTTGTGGATTAGAAGCCATGTGGATTAGAAGCCAAGGGAATAAACTGAATCTACAGTAAAAGAAAACTAAAACAGAAAGAAATAAAGGAGATAGATGAAGGGAACCTTGAGAAATTTAAAGACCTTGGTTCTAGCTAGTTTCAGGAATTCAAATAAGTTAGAAAAATAGCATTACTGAAATAAATAAATACAATTATTACTATAAAAAACTTACCTAAATAATCACTGGCTACACTGCAATTGGAGATATGGGGAGACTTATCTATTGTTTCTGCTTCACTAGTGTCATGTTTTTCAGCGCCTAAATTTAAAAAAGAGGTAAGAAGAAACAGATGTACCTTAATCAACCAACGTCTAGAAGTAGGAAGATTAGTGGTAAAATATAATAGCATCCAGATACAGATAAATGACCCGAACTCAAACTAGCACAATGAGTTTAATTGGAGAGGGTAGCATACTATTAGGAGTTTGGGCTCTGAGTTAAAGTTAATCAGACTTAAGTTCAAATTCAGGTTCTACTACTTAAAATGGGTATATGAACATGGGAAAGTTGCTTATTCTCTCTAAGACTTAATTTCCTCATCTATTATGGAGATAAAAATAGTGTGGGGATTAAATGGGGTTATCGTGGAGAATTAAATATCAACCACATGTGGAAATTGCTTATATTTGGGCCCCAGCACATAGGAAACAGTCAATAAATATGAACTATTATTTCTGCGTAGGGAGAGCCATCTTTTTACTAGCATAAAGACTCTTCAATCATTACAATAACCTTAAAATAACCTAAAGTATTTTAAGAGGACTTTAAGTCATGATAACTGGTACTGTTAAATCCCAGTGCTACAAAGTACATTATTCTATAAGAAGCAGTACTTCTAAAGAAATCCTACTCTATATTCTACAATCTCATATAGGAGATAAATTTGTTTTTCTCAATTTTAGATATATGAAAATACATTTTTCTAAGTTTCTTTGATTCCTTATTACTAAAAGGCTCCCTAATCAACACTGTTCTCATTTATTTTCAAATAGGAGGCAATACTGATTTAAACATCTATACCCCTAAATAAGCTAATGGGCTAAAAACACCCTCCAACATTAAGGAAGTTAAGCCAAAACAATTTAATCCAAAAATCATTTTAGAGTTTGAATGTCTTTTCCAGAAATAATTTCTGCCTTTCCAGAATATCAATATTGACATCTGCTGCAGTTGCCAGAAAAATCAAAGGAGAAAAATCTAGAAAAATCCAGAAACCATGGATCCCTTAATTCTACTGAGTTTGCTAACCAAATTACTACCTTTAATCTTTGTAAATAATAAAAATTGCCATCATTAGGTCATGTTTAGCTAATTTGAATTTTGAAAGAGGTGGATTATTAGGACTGTATAGGTCATTTCAGTTGATTAAGAAATAAAATTTTCACTGTATACAAAGATGTAATTTGAACATCTAAGTTCAGAGTCCTGGTACTCAAGTTCACTTTGAATGTTAAGCAGATGTATATGTGTGTGTGCATATATATATGTATGTATGAGATTTATGCAGCAGAATAAACAATTAAATCCAATTGTACCCTCTGCAACTTGCACTATTTATAGTACAAAGAACTAAAATTTTATTCTTTCCTCTGTGAATGCTCATCCAAAGAAATGATTACAAAAGCAATAATATTATAAATATATAGAAAATAGTTACTTTTATCTTGAGACTCTTCCACATCAATGGTGACTGTTGGAAGTTCCTTCATTGATAATGCTAGCGCGAATTCTAAGCCTCTCTGGTAGAGCTTATCATCTAAAGCCATCCTAGAGTAGACACACAAATAATAAGTTTTTTAAATTATCAACCTCAATTAAACAGAAAAATTTGAGATTTTCCTGAATTACTATTTAAGAGTTGCTAGCCTCACAAAAACGTTTTTAAACAATAATCATGATCATAATTGACCTTTAAGGATAAGACTTCTAAAATGTATCAATGTCATGTTTTAATCTAGCATAAGAGATTTGAAACAGGAGCGGCAGGTGCTGTTGCACTTACTCTTTCTTGTGATGTCTGTCCTTACTATCAGTTCTACTCAGGTGGGAAGCACTTGCTCGACCTAGAATAAAGACTCGGTTCAAACCTCACTTCCACTTAGAAATCTTCCTTGATCTCACCCATACCTCTCAGCTATTATAGGTCTTATATATGCATATTTTTACATGTGTTCCTCCTAATCTAGACTTTAACAAATATTTCACCAAATACTTAACTGTGTATGAGGCACTGTACTAGACAGGATACAAATATACCAGCAAGGACTCTGCATTTAATAAGGACGGTAGGGAAACAGGACATATTAATAATTATCCCATATAGGCAGATTATTATGTCTTCTATTTAAGGTGGTTAAAAGTGCTGTGGTGTGTGAGGAAGAGAAATTAAAAACAGATAAGGAAAGGTTGCACAAAGGAAGAAACAGTGAGATACACCTTGGAGGATTTATTATTTTTTTAATAACAATTTTGATGAGACAGAATTCACACAACATAAAATTCATCCTTTTAAAGTGTACAATTTATCAGGTTTTAGTACATCCACAGAGTTGTGAAACCATCACCATTATCTAATTTCATAACATTTTCATCATGAAAAAAATCCTGTATCCATTAACATTCACTTCTCATTACCCTTTCCCAGCATCTGCCAACCAATATCTACTTTCTGTTTCTATGTAATTGTCTATTGTGGACACTTTATATTAATGGAATCATACAATGTGTGGCCTTTTGTACCATTACTTTTTTCCATCAGTATAATGCTTTCAATGTTCATCCATGTTGTAGTATATATCAGTACTTTATTTTTTTATTGCTGAATAATATTCCACTCTATGGATATACCACATTAATCTTTTATCAGTTGATAAGACACTAGGATTGCTTTCATTTTTTGACTATTATTAATAATGCTGCCACCTTCATGTACAGGTTTTTGTGCGGGCATATTTTAATTTCTCTTAGGTAAATGCCTAGGCTGAACCACATAACTCTGTGTTTAACATTTTGCGAAACTGCTACTCTGTCTTCCAATGGAGCTGCACTGGTTAACATTCCAAGCAATCATGTATGAGGGTTCCAGTTTCTCCACATCCTCCCTAACACTTGTTACTCTCTGTCGTTTTTGGTTATGGCCATCATAGTGCGTGTGAAGTATTACCTCACTGTGGTTTTGATTTGTCATCATTTCCCTGATGGCTAAGGATGTTCAAAATGTTTTATGTGCTTATTGGCCATCTGTACATCTTTTTTGGAGAAATGTCTACTTAAATCCTTTGCCCATTTTTTAAAATTGGGTTTAGCCTTTTTATTGTTGAATTTTAAGAGTTCTTTAAATATTCTGGATACAAGTCCAGAAACAAAATATATGATTTACAAACATTTGTTTGTTTCACTATATTTAAAATGTAGTCTGAGCTCAAAAATAGAAATAAAAAAAAAAGAGAGAAAGTAAAGAGAATAACATGGGCTAGGTTATTCTACGTTAATGAACTTTTCTCAAGCTTATAGCAGTAAACCATCACATGCTCCATGTTGCATTTGTTAATATTCCTCTTCTGCCCATCTCCTCTCTATGCTACAAGTTTTGGGCCTCTTGGGACTTCTTCCCTCACCCTCTCTCTCTCTCTTGGAACTAACTAATGGAATCCCAGAGTTAGTCTAGAAATTACAAAACTTCTCATTACTGGATAAATCTCAACAATGTAAAGAGAAAATAATTTTTGTCTGCAGAAAAACACATGGTTTTAAATTTTAGAAAACTGTCCTTACAAATGTAATTTTTAACAAAGTAGTCTTGTTAGACTTGAGGACTTCAGAGACAGGTATTGGGTCCTGTAAAAGTAAGTTATAACTCCAAAACTTTGTTAAGTATGATTGTCTTAATATTTAAATGGATATTTCTTTACATGTTTGTGAATGTCTTTTTTAAGTCAGAAAGTCAGAAGGGGATTAATGGAACATCCTTATTCTCCTACAGGCACTAAATAAAATAATACCTATGACTCTGCTCAAGTTCTAATTTAAACCAAGAGTTCGAATCTGTCTCTCTTTTAAATTAATACATCTAATATCATATATTTACTCTATGTCTTACCTCTTACCTTTTTTTAGGAGTTTTCTCTTGTAACGGGGTATCTTCTTTCTGGAGATTCTTCGATTTAGTTTTTGGTTTTTCTAGTTTTAACTCCTTTGGTGTTGTTTTGGATTTCTTATTTAAAGGTTCAGTTGCAGAAACAAAATCATCTATTTATGTATGAATTAAAAATAAAATATATGAAATTGCTTTTCCTAAATAAGAAATAAAATTATTTTTTTAGTAGTTGAAATTCATTACAGTGTGTGTTCAAGTTTTAAAGGTTAAGCAAGTTGCTTAATTTCCACAATTTAAAAAATACTGTTGGTATATTGTCTTTATTCTTGCTGTTTTTCAACATTGTTTTAATAGCCTTTATTAAAATATCAATCTATCAAAAATTAATTCACTAAAAAACTAATTTAGTTCTGTTGACACTCAGTATAAAATTGCTGCTGTATCTTTTAAACTCATATATGACACATGTATGCATACTTTCAGGGTACATGTAGTCTTAATCATATACTTTAGCATTTATTAATACATGTTGTCTCTTTTATGCTTCCTCATGTAGAAATATGACTGTCTTCACCTCTACTGCATAGTGTCTATAACACAATAGGCAATTTATAAATATTTGGTGACAGACTGATGACAGTGATAAAAAGCTACAAATTACATTCTACATTATTTTCTCCTAAGTCTTAGACACACTTAAGACTGTGCCCAAGGCGAAAAACAGATTCTTTCAAACCTCAGCTACTATTTGACTCAAAGAAAGCTCTGGTGGTCTTAGAAATACAAAACCTACTTCAAAGTAAATGTAATCTAACCCAATGTTTCTCAAGCTTTTTGACCGAAGTTCCCTTAATAACATGGAGACAAGTAAATATATAACCCAATGGGGTATAGTCTAAGCCTAACCTTCCGTCAAGATCTTGTTTTATTGTACAATTAATGGGGATTTCACATTATATTCTGTAACACATTTGTGTCTCAAAAAAACAGTGTGTTCCTTCTTCGGGGAAGGGATAGGGGGGAGACAAACCCCTCTTTGAGAAACATGGTCCTAGAGTCGTTTCATCCTAAAGAGCCATTTCACCTGGCCATATTTACATATCACTCACCTATATAATTCTTGTCAGTGTAATTATCAAAGTAATTATCTCAAATGCTTAGAAAATTAATTTTCAAGACCTACCTCATATGCAATTGGGTAATATGTTCAACATTTGAGCTATACATATGTGTCACATTTCAGAGGAAATAAATTTCCAAATCTTTAAAGCAAAAATAAGAATCTCTATTTACCATCGCTGTCGGAGTCCTCAAACTGTGAGTAATTGACTGGTTTCTTATGCCTATGACCAAGACAGAAATTTTTCATTTACACAAATGTCAATTTTCTCACATCCAATCCTTTTAAGGCTATTAATTGTCTTGAGTAAATAAAAATGTGTTTGGAGTCTCTTAAGAATACTTAAAACACAATTTGGATTTTACAGATTTAGCATTAGCTAAAATAGTTATTACCATACTTGATGTACCTGATAAGAAAAAAAATTAATTCAGATAACCCACAAAGTTAGAATAATTAATACAGTTAACACAATTCATATACTGTTTAATTGCTGTTGGGCATTTAAGTAAAAGTTCCTGTTGTATATACACTTTTGTTTTATATGTGCATTCTGTCCTCCTTATTAGATTATAAACTTCTTGACACTAAAAGCCATTTTCTTTTTTTAAAAATCTCACCACAATACTAAATAATGTTCTATATGCAATGGACACTTAAAAGATGTTGAATAATTCTGTACTTGCCACCTGAAATGAATCTTTATATTATTTTAGAAGAAAGTAATATTCAAAGAGAAAAAATAATTTCCCTCCTTGTTCCTCTAGGCACTAAATGAAATGGTATTCTAGTTTTCATTTCTGTCTTCTGCCAAATTCCCAAGTGTGACTAATCTGACAGTTGTTCTTTCAAGTAAAAATGGTTTTCTATGAAAATGAGGCTATCAACTCACAACTCAATCTCACAAGTGCTTTTCCTTAAGACAACCATTGCAGAAGGGCTCTGTACTTCTCGTTTTTTCATACAGAATATTAAAATGAAGTGTACTCTTGTAATTCTCCTACTCCTTGGAGCTGAAGAATTTGAGAGCTACATAGAATATAGAAACCTCTTTAGAAATTCTGAGATTGAATAATAGTAAAATAAAATCAAAACTTTTTTAAAAAGTATGCTCAACAGTTAAGCTATAATGATATAATTCTTATTGCTTCAAGCACATTCTTAAGTAAAACTTTCATTTTCTTTTTTTCTTTACTCTAAATGTGTAGCAGTAAAGAATACCATAACCACTCACACAATTCGGTGCCACCTGCCTTGATTCGTGCTAAGTTGCTAGCCATTTAACCACCACTGCAGTGAAAATGACCAAACAATGAAAGAAGCAAGTAATGTCTTATTATTATTATGAAGAGTTTTGAACTAATGGACCTCCTGAGAGGGTTTCAGAGACCTGTAGGGGTCTGCAAACCATATTTTGACAACTGCTATTCCAGAAAAAGGGATTATGTCTTTGCTCCTGGATGTTCAAGGCCCACTTCAAACTTAACATGTTCAAAAAGGAACTTTTGATCCCCCACACAGCTTGAACCTGTTTCTTTTCCTAGTCTTCCCCACCTTAGTTAACACAAAGATCATTCATTCAGTAGTTCAAGCCAAAAATATTGTGAAGTCATCCTTGATTCTTTTTTCCCCTTACCTTCACATCTACTTCATCAGCAAGTTCTGGCAGCAGTATCTCCAAAATATATTAGCAAGTTCTGTCAGCAGTGTCTCCAAAATATATCCCAAATTCACCTGTCCCATTCCATGTCCACTGATAATACCGTACTCCAAACCACTATCCACTGATATAATAGCCTCCTAACTGGTTTTCCTGCTCCCGTTCTGGTTACCCCATCTCTCATTCATTCTCCACCAGGAACCAGTGAACTGTATACAACCAAAATTAGATGTCTTAGAATAAAATCCAAACTCTTTTCTAAAATGTACAAGGCCCTCCCTGTTCTGGTCCCTGCCTATTTCTCTGACCTAATCCCCTACAATTCTCCCTACTGCTTGCTAATGCTACAGCTTTAGTGGCCTTCTTTCTGTTCCTCACACAAGGTCAAGCTCAAGGCCTTGGCTCTTGTTCTCTCTACCTGAATTGTCCCAGATTTTCATTGGCTGGGTCCTTATTGACATTCGTGCTTCAGCTCATGTATTATCTCCTCAGAGAGGCACATCCTAACTACTCTATTTAAACTAAGGCTTTCCTCCTTCTCTCTCTCACATCGTGATATTTTTGGCACCCTAACCTCACCCCTTGACTAGAATATAATAACCTCCTGCACCTAGTACAATAATGTATAGAAGTACGTCTATTCTATAAACGAATGGTTAACCTTAGGCCTCCAAAGCACTCAAGTTAAGCAGAGGAAGTTTCAAACAGTACAGTGGAAGTGCAGGGGTTCTGGAGCCAGGTGACTTAGGTTTGAGCACTATCCTGCCACTCTCTAACTTTGTGACTCAGGTAAATTGGCCTTTATGCCTAGGAGTTGAAGTAGATAAAACAGGGATACCTAAACTGGTATATCAAACAACTATAGTGATGAACAAATGAAATAGCACATAAACAGGAGCTCGGTGAAATGTAAAGCGCTGTTCGAACGCTACCATAACAAGGTCTTATTTGAATGGGGTGGGTAAAAGAAACACCAACAGCTGCGAAGGGAGGCAAAGAGAAGGAAAAATTTAGGTTGCTAGGATACTTCTGAGGAATGGGTGGTCCTCAGAGAGACAAGAGAGTTTCCCAGTAACCGTCCATCCCACTCCACCGTCGCTACTCTCTGTCCTACTGAGCCCTTTCCCCTCAATCGTGTGTAAGGTGAAGTTGTCTACAGCGTGTTCCTGATCTTTCTCCCCATCCCCGCCGGATGTCCTGAACTACTCACCTCACAGGCCGCACCATGGCTCCCTTCAAGGTTGAATACTTGCAGCTCTCAAGTTCTGGTTGGCAGCAGTGACGGTTTCAATTCCCGCCCAAAACCAGACACCGAAGTTCTCCACCCCCTGCCACCAGTCCTCCAATAATTACCAGCCATCCTTAGGAGTGCGCACGCGCGCTGAGAGGAGTTAATTTGTTCACGCCCTTAGCAAGACATTGCCCTTCCGCTTCCGGTCTGCCAGAGCCACGTTTGTAGTTCGCTGCTACACTTTCGGCGCGACACTGGTTTTATGCCGTCTCTGAAATACACAAAAACAGTAGAACTGTACCTTCTTAAACTTTTTAAATGATTAAGTTGAGTCAGGATAGAACAAGAGGCACTTACACCGAGGAATTTTCTACGGAGTGCCAGGAAAGAGGAGCAAGCGTGAGCGAATCTGCCGAAGCGGATCTGCTGGCTGTAAAAACAAGTACGCAAGTCAGCTGATGTTCCCTGAGCCTTGGCCTGTTGACAACGCCGAGTGTGCGGACCCTTCAGGACTTCGGAGCTAGGGGAGGTGAGCCTGCAGCCAAGAATGAGGACGCTCTTTTAGAATGAAACCCCCTTATGGAGCTGTTGTACCCTCAATCGGCTGGAGCTTCTCGGCCCCGCAGTCTCCCCTCCCTTTGCGTGACTAATTTGAGCCGCAGAATCACCACTCTGTTGGCGGTATGAGGTCTGACTAGCTCTCCTCTTCCCATCCCGTTTTTGCATGGGAATCCTTCCTTGATTTCACCTCTGCTTGAAAAAAAAAAAAAAATTGGGGAGAAGGAACTAAAGAATCAATTTGTTGAAACATAGTAAGTTTAAATGTTGAACCGAAGCTAAAATATTTAGCCGAAGAAAGAAGTAAGAGTGTTCTAGGCAAAGGAAAGACATTCCAAAAGGTTGGGAGTTGAAAAAGAGATTTAGTATTGAAAGGAATTCAGTGTGGCTGGAAAATAAAGTTTTCAAAAGAGTGCAGGTGTTGGGGAGAAGAAAAGTCTGGAGATATAAGCAGACACGTGTGAGTTTGAATTTTATCCTGAGACCTATGGATGTTATAGAAGTGTTTTAAGCAGATTAATAACAGCAGATATGCAGTTGGAAAGATGAGTATGACTTAAGAATAGTGTAAGAACTGTTTTGATGGGGAAAAGCCTAGAGCAGGGAGTCTAGTAAGGAGGCTGGTAAATAAATCTTACTTGATGTTGATTCTTAATCTTTTTGACTAGATTTTCTTCTTTCTGAATAGCGTCCAGTTTGCCTTGTGGGGTATCTTGGACCTTCTATTTTCTGTATATCTTTTTCCCACGTTGAGATCTAACACCATCTCCCGCCCCTCTACCCCCAGTTCGCTTCTTGGTCCCTGATCTGTTTCTTTGACTTTGCAGTCCCCAGCTTTCATAAACTCTATATCAGCCCACCCACGGATCTCTTCCTGAGAATCCTCTTTTTTCTCCATGTTCTTTCCCTGTTCTTGAGAACCCTGCCTAGGAATGCAAAGTACTCCATGGGCATAATTTTTTTCTGAAATAAAGCTTAAAAAAACTTTCATTTTAAAAAGAAACGCTTCATTTTCTTCATGAAGATAAAAATGCAGGGATAAATGTAGGAAAAAGTAGAATAATTTGCTCAGAATCACAGATAAAATCTCTTGAGTGGTGGACCATTTTCTTAGAAGTGATACATCAGTAATGAAATATCATGTTTTATATGGCGTTATAATCTGCTTTTTAAAACTATAGATATCCTGCCGGAGAAGATGAAGAAAAACAGAGAACGATTCTGCAACAGAGAGAGAGAATTTGTGTATAAATTCAAAGTAGGAAGTCAGTGCTTAGAACTGAGGGTGCCCCTCAAATTTCCTGTTCAAGAGAACGCCAGTTATTTACATGGACGTCTGATGCTGCTGCACGGTTTACCATGCTTTATAGAAAAAGGTGAGGACTAATTTTTTTTTTAATACCACTTTATTTTTATACAGTCTGTCATTAGAAGTTTCATATTAGAAAGCATAAACCTAAGAAGCATTGGAAACGGCTATAAAATCAGAAGTGTTTAAAACTGCTTTTAAGAATAAAGCAGTTTTATTTAGTGCTTTTTCTTGTAACCCTTGTAGTTGTTTATAAGGCAGTTTAGTATAAAAATTAAATTACATAATGAAAAATTAGTTACGAAGACTAGATTAGAACTTTTAACCTCTTAATTTAGTTGGGCGGATTCATAAGGCACTTCAGCTATCATTTATTATGTTATAGAATTATATTGCTAAATGCGTTGCCCCTTTAATGATCTGATTCTCAATTCCTAAGATGTCATAGAAGAGTAGGAATACTAATCTTAGAATAATTTTTGCTTACCTAAATTAATTCTATAAGGTCATCTATATTAATACATTTTTAAAAGTCTATGTTGTATCTCACAGATTAGGACAACAATTTAAATTGAGAATGTGTTGGATCATAGAAAGTTAGAGTTAGAAGGGAACCCAGAAACTTCCTAACACAGTCTCATTGTACAAATAAGGAAAGATGTACATGGAAAGATTAAATCATTCGCCTAAGGCAGTGGTTCTCAAAAGTTTTTTCCTGATCAGAAGCAATACCATCTCCTGGAAAACTGTTAGAAATGCAAATTCTTGGGCCTCACTCTATTCTTGCTAAATCAGAAACTCTGGGGGTAGCAGTCTGCAACCTCAGTAAGCCCTCCAGGGAATTCCGATGCAAGCTAAATATTGAGAACCACTGGTGTAATGTGACAAACATAGTGGACAGAGCCGAGATCAGGACACATATGTTTTGACTTCTATTCCAGTGCTGTTTCCATTCTATCAATCTCTAAGTAGTGTCTCTAAAATTGGAATTATAGATCATCTGAATTAAATCAGTTTTAATATAATTATTCAAATTTCTATTCCAAATTCAAAGAATAATCATATAATGAACTTTGTCATTTAAATACATAACCTTAAAGCCCTCTAAATCTGTAGACTATTTTTCTTTATATGCTTTTACCTGTTTCAAACTGAAGCATCAGGCTTAAGAAATTAACATTTCAAATTAGTATCAAGGTTATACATAAAAGTTAAGAATTTTGACCATTCTCCATGTATAACCTGTAATAGTAAAAAAAGATATTTGTGAAATTAGTTAAATGATCCCCTAAGCTTATTTTATTTTATTTAGACATTGTATTAAGGGTTTAAGCTTGGTAAAATTTTATGTTGGAATGCTTAATCAGATAAAATGTTCCCTATTTATATCTGGATTTTGCTGAAGATGGCATTTCTTGTCCATGTTACAGATTTAAAAGAAGCTTTGAGTCAGTTTATAGAAGTAGAATCCCTCAAAGATTATGATAGAGATGCTGAAGCATCACTGGAATCCGTGAAATCAGGTGAAGTAGATTTGCATCAGCTGGCAAATACATGGGCCAAAGCTTATGCTGAGGTAAGAAAATAGATCAGATTGTAAATTTCAAGGATATGCTGGACTTTAATGAGGATTTTTAAATTGCTAAGATAATACTGAGTTGCAGAATCCTTTTTTCTGTACGTAAAAAATTTATTCCATAATATACAATATATATTGATGGTTAAGTGCTTCCTTCCTATATTAGGGTAAGCACATAACATAATACTTTACGTACTGCCTTTATAAGACAAGATGGTACTTTTGTATTTCTAACCAGGATAACATTGCCAGATTTAGTAATTAATAATACAGAGCACCAGTTAAATTAGAATTTCAATAAACAATGAATAACTTTTTAGTATAAGTATATCCCACATATTCAATGGAACATAGTTATAGTAAAAATTATTCATTGTTTATCTGAAATTTTAATTTTAACTGGTGACCTGCATTTTATCTGGCAACTGTAAACTAGCAGTAGTTCATTTTAATCTCATTTACTTTTGTTATATAGTTATATAACATCATCATTTTTCCCTTTAAATAATATACCTTATTTCATAAAGTCTAAGATGCCATTGATCATAACATACACCATTATTTTATTTACTACTAAGAAAGAACACTTTCACCTGTTAATCAATAATAGAATGCCAACATGCCATCAAATATATGATACACCCTGATTTCCAAAAGTTATAATGTAAAAAAATATGTATCTTAGAATTGATGAGATACAATATGTTGAGAATCTATTATATGTCATTTACTGTACTAGGCGTTCGGTATTAAATTGTGAGTAAGACAGACACAAAATCGAAATTTACATTTTAGTTAGAGAGCCAGATACAGAACTATGTAAACAGACAAAATAAATTCAATAGTTGCAAGCTCTAATGAGTGAATTACGTCCCACTTTAAGCAATTCAGTTCATGAGAATTTGAAAGAAATCCATTTTATTAGGTCATATTTATTAATCAAAGCAGTTTGTTCTATGCCCAGAAAGGTTTCCTAGTTTATTTAAAAGATGACACTATTTACACATATTAACTGTTAAAAACATAATTATTACATTAAAAAAGATATGTCTGTGATAATTAAAGAAACCCCATTGTCCAGCTGATAAAAAGAAATAAAGCTGTAAGATGTATTACAATAATGATTCTACTTGGTTCATTTGACAACATTTTTTGTTCCTCTAAAATAGGTTGAGTATACAGCTGAGGATAAGTCTTTACCTTCAGGAGGCTTAAAATCTTAGTAGGAAGGTACAAAGACGTCCACAGACTGTTATAACTGTGCAGCCTCAGGATCGGTGTAAATACTATGGGAGCATGTAGAGAAATTGAGGGAAGAAGGAGTGGTCAGGGAAGAGTTCGTGAAGAAAGCAGTTACTCCTCTAGAATTGCTCTTGTTTTGATATCAAATCTGGAAGCAGAACCTATTCTGTGTAACCAAAGAGAAAACTTCCTGAATATTAGGTCAATAAATGTTTTTTTAAGTTTATCTTAAAAATAATTACCGTGTTTACTAAATTTATGGTTTTACTTATTCTTTTGTGCTTTAGCTGTTCTAAAAATAAGAATTTGACTCTCTTCCAGATTAATGATTCTAACAATAGTAGCAATAATAGTTACATCAATATAACATTATACTTAATTCATTTAATCATAAGAGTACAGATATACAGTGAATTAAAATCGACAAGTATCAATTGAGAAGTACTCTGTCATACCCTATGCAAATTTAGGAGATACGTAGCACTTCTTGTTTTGTAGAGTTCATATTTCTAGCAATGCCAGAATTCTAGAACCATAGTAGCTTGTTTGTCTTTAAAGAATTAAGGAAAGATAAAGCAAAAAAGTTATTTCTCACAGTAAAAAAGAAAATATTGACAGTTAGAAAAATAACTGAAAAGACCCAAATATTGCTTTCCTCCTGGATATATATGGGTTGTTGTTGGCTATGAAAATGACAAAAGCCAAACAGCTCAATATAAGCTCAAGAAATATGGGAATCAGTGACCAAACGAAGGAATTAAAAAAGAAAAGAGAACTGTGTAGTCGATTGCAAAAGATCTGGCAAAGATTAGAAGCTGCAGCATTGTGGAGAAAAATCAAAGTATGCCTAGCAGCAGACTGATAGCGGATGCAGAATGGAGTAGTAGTACATGAGACAGGAGAAGGCTAATGCATCTCTGCAGCATGTGGGTAAACAATATTTCAGTAATCTTGAGAACAATAGAAGCAACAATATAGAGGGGAAATAACAAAGTGTTTATGGTGATACCAGTTACCTAGGGTTATGAAGGAATGAGCTCTGTGTACTATAAATGGATTTACTAGATATTTCAAATGTAACATACGTAAATAACAAAGTATTTGCCTTAACCACTTTTTGATAAAGATTTTTTTTAAAAGGCAGTACACATTTCTTTGCTTTCTTAGGCATGCTGTATAAAACTCAATCCTAACTTTTTGTTGACCTCGAGTCATCAGTATAAATGTAAATGATTATATTTTTATATGATACAATGAGGCAGTGCTACAGAAGGAGGCCTGTCTGTCCCATCATTGCAGTGATGTGCTGAATATGCTGCTGTTACATAAGAAATTTTATTGTAGAGGACCATTGCCCCTGATATACAGAGGTCTGCTTTAATGAATGTACTTATATGGTATAAGGAAGTTCTGATGATTTACTAAAGTACACGACTGTTAATTCCTACTTTGTAGAGTAACTCTATTTTCTTCTGCATTTCCTTTTCTTGTCTACTGTCAGAATCTATTGCTTGTCATCCTTTTCTGCTTCTAGTCCCTAAAAATCTAATTATACTGTTTCTTTTAATCACTACTGTATCTTTTGCTATTAGATTTCTTTTTCTTTCTTTCTTTCTTTCTTTTGATAATGAGAAGTAAGCTCGGATAGGTAAGAAAAGCCAAACAGAGGCACCATTGACAAAATCGTGAAGTTGACTATTTATTTTTGGTGGTGTCCTATGTTCTATTTCAGTACGCTTCTCAGTTCTCTTTGTAGTCATTCATTCTGCAAACGTGTATTGAGCATCTGTTACATATTAGATATGTTAGGCACTTGGGATATAACAAAAACAAAATAGACATAATTCTCACCTTCACAGAGTTTATAGTATAACAGGAAGACATAATTAAAATTAAATTCAGTGGAATGTGGCAAGTACTATGATAGGGAGACTACAGAGTACTATGAGAGCACAAAGCAGGTACACCTATTCTAATCTAGTGAACTTTAGGAAAGCTTCCCAGAGGAAAGAGAAATTTAGTTGAGACCTGAAATATGAGATGAAAATAAGTAGGTGGTGTGGGGGAGTGGAGAAAATAACCACTCTAAAGTTTATGGTGGAAGATTTGGTGTGAGAGGATATGACATATATAAAGGCCTGGAGGTGAGAAAGTCCAGGGCACATTTGAAAAACAAGTTTAGAATGGCTAGAAAAGAGTGTTGCAAGCCATCTTGAGAATTGTCTTTATGCTAAAGGTAATGAGCTGCTTTGAAGCAGTTTAGCAGAGGAGTAAGATGATCATATTTGCATTTCAGAAAGATCAGTTCAGTGTATTAGTATGAAGAAAATCTCGGAAGGGAGAAATTTGAGATAAGTTAGAAGACTGTTGCAGTTATAGGAAAGAAGCGATGAAAGCTTAGTCTAGAATTGTGGTAGTGGAGACAAAAGAAGATATGATTTTTGTCATTTATATATTCAGCAAACACTGTATGTAGGTCTGTGCTATGCTTCAGGAATATAGCAACAGAAGAAATCTGGTTCTTATTATCATGTAATGAAGAAGAAAGTTAATAAACAAGTACATGACTAATTTATAATTGTAAACATGTTATAAAGGAAATAAATAAGGTACCATCATGGAGAACCATGAAGGGGAGAGGTGGGGAGAACTTAATTTATATGGGACTAGAGAACTCTTCTCTAAGGAGGTAACATTTAAGCTGAGACTTGAAAGATAAAAGATCACTTGGCCCAGAGTTCTGGTTTGGACTACTGGATGGTGGAATGGTGGCTCCATTCATGTGAAGAGAAGCAAGTATTGGCATAAAAATGATGGCTTCAGTTTTACGCCTATTGAATGCAAAGGGCCTGTAAGACTCTCAAGTGGAGGTGTCTCATAAGCACTTAGCTCTGTAGGTCTGGAACTCAGGAAAGATGATTGGACTGGAGACATAGGTGTGGGAGTCATTCATATACCTGAGAATTTCAAAGTAATGGATTAAATGAAATTGTGCATGGTTACTATGTAGAATGAGAAGAGTAGATGCCTGGACAGAATCCTGTATTATAATTGTGTATTGACTTAACCTGTATTTCCTACTTGTGGATATCCACTTGAAAATGTCTAATTTATTCTCTATTATACCTCTGGTATCTAGTATCATGCCTGCAAATAATAGGGCTTTGGTATGTGTTAGATAGATGGGTGGCAAATAAATGGATGAGCGAATATATAAATAAATGAACAGACAGTAACACTTAAGCTATTAACAGAGGAAGAAGAACTTGCAAAGGAAAGAGAAGAACTGGCCAAAGAAGTAGAAAGAAGGCAAAAAATTAGGGTTTCATGAAAGTTAAGAAAAAACAAGCACCAAGAAGGAGGGAATAGTCAACAATGTAAAATGCTGCAGAGATCAAGCAAGGAAAACACTAAAAAATAACCAGTGGTTTTTTCAAATAATCTTATGGCAAGATCAGTGACAGTGGATTGGTGGGGGCAGAAATTATATTTCAGTGACCTTAAGAATGTGTGGAAATGTGGGAGTAGAGAGAATGAGTATAGGTAACTCAAGAAGTTTGGCTATATACAGAAGAAGGATGAGGCACTTTCAAAATGGGAACACAGGGTTAGAAAATTTCTTTTTTTTGTTTGTTCATTTGTTTTAAGATGGTTGAGATGAAAACTAGAAGAGATAGAATCCAGAACTCTTGTAGAGAATTAATTTTAACTAGGTAGAGAGACACTTCTTCCATTAGCACAAAGGAAGAAAAAAGGGATGGATATAAATTAAGAAAATTTTACTACTTTGGTAGCAGAAGTTAAAGTAGAACTATTTCTACTTTATCTAAGAAGTAATAAAAACAGGTCATTCGTTTGGATGTTTGTGGTGAGAACTGACCAGAGGAAGATAGGATTGCCAGGCGTCACTAAAGGGAAAGTTTAGAGTCACACCAATCTGCCACCATAAACTGTAGAGTTTTATAGTTGTTCTGCTGCAGCTCTCTATAGCCCAGCTGTAAGATTAGAGTTTTGTTAGGTGGGCAAGAGAAGGAACGTCAGTCAAGGGAATTGAGAGTTGACAAGATGGTGGTTGAATGCCAGACCACGGAATGTAAGCTGCATAGGGAAGAAAGTGAAGCTAGGTGGGAGGTGATGGCTGACAAAAAATGAAAAAGTAGAGGGCCTATGGAGTGGAAATCCTGATAAGGTTGAAGAACCAACTACCTGGGAGTAATTGAATTAAAAATCTTGGTTGGAGGTTTAGTCAAACTGAATGTTTGCAGTTTTGAGTTTGAGCCTGTTCCTGGTGATGTAGAATGGGTGACTGATGTGGAGTGGAAAGCTTATGAGAGATATGGAGTTGAGGGAAGTAAGACAGAAGACATTGGATAGGTTATCCACATGGACATCCAACTGACCAAGGTTGATGACAAGATGTGTGCTATCACACATCAGAGGAAGTATGTGAACACAGTGCCAAAACTTTAAATGAATGAGGGTGATTGACCGGTCAGTTGTTAGATAATCATGGCCATGAAAGACAAGGGATGCCAAATGGTTTGAGTCTCAAAGAAATTGAGCTTTATGCCTGAATATGGAGGCAGAAAAATAATGGCCTGGGCATTGAATAGTATTCTCTCAGTAGGCCTTTACTCAATGCCCCATTTCTCTCAGCTGTCACAATCCCCTTTCTAGTATCATCTCTCTTGAGACAATGGGAAGACTTAGGTCAGGGAAAAACTCTAGCGCTTCTCATGTAGGTAGTTTCTATTCCTAATGCTAGGCTGAGTTTTCAGTTGATGCTGCAAATTGTTATAGTTAGCCGATATGGCTAGTGAGGTTACAGAATGTCTGGTGTTATATATGGCCAGCCAGATCCCTATGATCTTTTACCGGCTCCTTCCTACAAAATTTTAGCCTGAGCCTGAAGTGAATTTTGAGCTAAGTTTAAGTCTCATGGGCTGGTTATAATCCCTAGAGCAGTGCCAAATCTAAAGATATAAAACAGTTATCAGAATGTGATTTTTAGATTTTCAGAGACATAGAGTAAATGAAATCCACGTTCTAGACTCAGCTAGAGTCATATTAAACTCTTCCCTCCTGATCTGGCAATTAATTGAAGTATAAGCGAAAGAAAACAAGGGGAAAAAGTTTAACTATTAATTGACCAAGTTCAAGATACCTGTTTCTGTGATTTATCCATTTGTTTTATTTTTAAGGTAAATTATTACTCTCATTTATGTTATAGAGTACAGTTTTTAATATTTTCATTGGTAAGAAAAGGGGAAAATTCAGGTTCTTTTTTTTGCAGATATCTGTCTATAAAGATCAGTAATGAAAAAAACATTGAAATCTTTGAGTTATTTCTACTTTTGCCATCAAATTATATGATGCTTGATGAGGACTTCTCAGCATATCAGTTTCCTAACCTGTAAAGCAGTATGTCTGACGTGTTGGCACATCACATGTCCTTGGGACAGGCATCTTTACCTCCCCAGGTGGATTTGTGTGTGTGCTGAGGGTATCCTGATTTTACTTCTCTCCACGTTTGTTTTTCTTGTTTATCAGTGTTGACTCAGTCTCTTTTTTTAATAGCTACTCTTTCCACATACCGAAAAAAATGCTTACATTTTTAAGAAGAAAGCAGTATACTATAAAGGGTCAAAATTAGAAAAATGCATGTTTATCTTGATATAAAATTCTATGCATGAATTTGATTTTCAAACTCTTTGCATCACCATATAGGTGACCACATAGGTAACCTCATTTTCTAAATATATAGCCTACAGCAGTGGTCCCCAACCCTTTGGCATCAGGGACCAGTGCTTCTATAAGAATCTAATGACTGATGATGTGAGGTGGAGCCGAGGTGGTGATTCTAGTGCTGGGGAGCGACTGGAAATACAGATGAAGCTTTGCTCACTCTCCCGCCTCTCACCACCTGTTGTGTGGTCCCGTTACTAACAGGGCACTGACCTGTACTGGTCCTCAGCTTTGGATTTGAGGACTCCTGGCCTACAAAACATTTTTTAGCACTATATAGTTTAATAATGAAAAGTTTTTTCCAATTATGTAATTAAAATGTGCAGATTATTTTTTATATGATACATTATAATATAAAGAAAGTAAAGGTCATCAGAAATCCCACTGTCCTGAAATAGGACATTAGCATTCTGTGTTATGTTAAAGAAATTGGATCATAGCATACTTTATTTTTTCCTACATTTCCCGTCCCTTCTTCCATGTTAGCCTCACTCTCCTATCCCTGTCTCCAGGTAACCCATATTAATAACTTAGTTTGTATCTTTCCATTTTGGGGGGATGCTTAGATAATCCTATGTAGCCAATATATAAACATATATAAATGGAGGGTCTTTCTCTCCTTGTCTGATGTACAAAAATTGAATCAGTGTATACATACTTTTCTAGTAGTGTGTTAGTTAAAAATACTATGTCATTTAAGAATGTCTGTGTATCATCTCGTAGACCACATTAGAGCATGCAAGGCCTGAAGAGCCCAGCTGGGATGAAGATTTTGCAGATGTGTACCATGACCTAATCCACTCTCCTGCCTCTGAAACACTCCTAAATTTGGAACATAATTACTTTGTTAGTATCTCAGAACTGATTGGTGAAAGAGATGTGGAGCTGAAAAAATTACGAGAGAGGTATTTCAAATTTCTCGTATTATCATAATTAAATGTTACATTGTTAGATATGGCCTACAGAACAACTTGTTTTTGATTTGTTATGAAATTGAAGACTAAAATAGAAAAAATTCTTTAATATTAGGAATTAATTTTCTTGTGTGTTTAAACCTGTAGTTTTAACTGGGAAGTCCTCATAGGTTTATAAAACTTCTCAAGTGATTTACAGAAATAAATATGGTGGCTTTATATATTCTTATTTCTAATAAGAGGAATAGCTTACCTCTTTTGAAGGTTTGCTTTTTTTCCAGGCACTGTGTGAAGTGCTTTGGATGCTGTCTTAGTTTGGGCTGCTATAACAAAAAACCATAGACGATATAGGTTAAACAACAGAAATTTATTTCTCATAGTTCTGGAGGCTGGATAGTCCAAGATCAGGGTGCCAATAGATTTAGCTGAGATGAGGACCCATTTCCTGGCTTACAGACAGTGCTTTCTCAATGTGTGCCCATATGGCCTTTTCTCAGTGCGTGCTCTTGCTGCATCATTCCTAGAGAGAGAACTCTAGTGTTTCTTCCTATATGCACTAGTTCCATCATGAGGCACCAACTTTAAAGCCTTGTCTATAAAGGCACTGCCTCTACATTCCATCACATTGAGGGTTAGGGTTTCAGCATATGCATAGGGTTTCATGCATTTCATGACATATTCTATCTCATTTGATCTTTACCCTATTATTATCCCCATTGTACAGATAAGGGAACTGAGGCTTAAATAAGTTAAGTAACTTGTCTAAAAACAAGCTGAAATTTTAAACCAGGAAGTTTTATTCCAAAGCTTCTTAACCACTATACTATACTGCCTCCCTATTCAGAATCTATTTAAAACACTGCTGTGACTAAGTCCATGGTGTCTTTCAATTCAGTTTCTAAGCTTATTTACATTAGTAAAAAATCACTAGTATTATTCCAAAAAATATTAATTAGATTTGAATTTATTTTGTATGGATAACTTAATACAGTAGTCCAAGCAGGCTTTTATGATCATTTTTTTCTTCAAAGTAAAAAATTGCTAGCATAATATATTTTAAAGCATGACTTTCCAGACTACTTCCTACTAATTCTATAATTGTAATAATAACTCAGGACACACTTCTCTTTCTAGATAATCCATATAATCTAGCTGAATCTAATAATATATATTACCTTCAAAGCATTTACTTAAAGACTTGAGGTATACATGGCATTAAGATAATTTTTTTCACGTTGCTGATTGATGGAAAGTTTATTTGATTGTGAAGGTATATTAGGAGCAAGTCACATTTATTCGTAAATCAGTCTCAAAAAAGTAAATTTAAGATGATGTACTGGTTTGCCCTTGGCCCTCATTAGCTTCACATTGGAAAACACTGGGACTAGCAAGATGAGAATAATGTCTTATTTTGAGGGTTATCATAGATGAGATCACTTAAAACACAAAAATCATAAGCAAATGGATTTAATCATTTTTCCTGAGGCATACTGTCTTCTGTGTATTAGATTAGTATTTTTATTATATTGCGTAGATTTGTAAATTTTCATAATAGTTCTACTCCTCTGGACCTTTCGTTCTCTTATCTAATAAGATATTGAAACTATCTCTGTGTCAGAAAGAACATGATGTTTCGAGACATTAGTCACTCTTTATGGGTTTGGGCTTGCTGACTACCTGTATCAAGGCAGTTTCTTTCTAGATGGGATACCTGCAGTATGGATAGTTTGCCACCAGGTAAATAGTTGAAGCTGTGTTTCTGGGGGAGTCAAAAATTTGCTTTTTTCCTAGTTTTTTATTATGTCACCCATAAAATTGTGAATATATTTTTAAAATAAGAACAAAATAAAGATTAGATTATTTTTAATATATAAAAATATGATTACCTAATACTAATTAATTACCTTCTGTTGAACTTCATTTTTCCTACTAGGGCTTCAAATTATATAACCTTCAGCTCATTCTAAATCTGTTCTTGGGTCTCAGGTTTTCTGGGACTATAGTCATTCTACCTATTTAGATACATGAAAAAATTCTCACCTTGGCTGTCTTTAGTTCATATCAGTAGCCATTACTAGTCCTTTCATTCAGCTGTTGAACTACTCTAAATTTTGGCCCACTTTATGCCTACTCACTACACCTCCCCCAAAATTTTATAATTGTTCTTTTTTCTAATTCAGAAGCAGATTCACATTCCATGAGACTCTTCACCTTTTGGGAAGCTGATTAATTAATTCAGTACTATTTACTGGTACTTTATACATTTTTTTTCTTTTGTGTAATAGTTTTTAGTAGGGGTTTGTTTTGGTTTATGTTATTTTTCAAAATGTCCTTTGGCCAAACTTCTTGATAGGGCTTTGCTTTTTTTTTCTTTCTAAACATATAAACAATATTTGAATACATTTATTTAAAAAACAGTTTCGTAGTTTGTCTTTCACATATCCAAACTGTTAGCTTTACAAAGAAAAGTAAGCTGTGTTCCTCTTAAGGTAAGTACTATTTATTGCAAAGGCGAACAGTATAACTCAAGGTACGTTGGATTCACTGATATCTTTGGAATTTCACCCAAAATTTCGGTGTTTAATTCATTTACCCAATTCATGAATGGAAGCGACATAATTTCTTATTTCTCCTTTCATTTTACTTGTTTTACATCTTTAAAAGAGTTTCTCAGCACAGCATCAGTATAGTTATAATGATCTTTTTTCCAGAGTGGCTTCAAGGTCATACACAGATTGTCAGAGTCATCATGACTGACATACTGAGCCAGTACATAGGTAGTAATTCATTTGAAATATAATAAAATTTTCTTTGATTTTAATCACAGAAAATGTATACTGTATTATTAATTATATCATTAGCTCCTTGCATTTCTGACACATTTAGAGTAAAATAAATGTTCATGTAATTTTATTTATTGCATACTTATTTATTAGTCTTCTTTTTCCTCACCGGAGGTTTGCTTCTTTCAGCAAACCAGATTCAGGTTTTTTAAAAAAACTTAAAAATGGCAATGATACATTTTATCCACTAGAGGGAACATGTGTAATATAAAATATTAACATATTCATATCAAAGTTTGTATTTATAAATATTTAGCAGTTATTTCTATTTTAAATAAAAAATCTTACTTGCAAACATAATCTTTACCTGACCTCTGATAGTTATTAAAAAGTTAATGAAATCATCTGCATTAGAATTAAGTGGGAACTAAATTAAGTGGGAACTATATTGTCCAGTATTAAATTGAATATTTTTATATATATTTTTTTCTATATATATATTGTCCAGTATTAAATATTCAATTTAATACTGGACAATACATATATAGAAATGTGTAAATGTATAACATGAATGAGTTTTATTTCTCATGTACATATCTTAATCAGTTGTCATAAAGAAGTATAAATTTGCTTCTGAGAGCAATTAAATTAACTAGAATGATAGTAAAAATTTTTTAGTTGATGTCTGTTTCATTCTAAGTTTGTTTCAAATATGTTTTAGAGTAAACTTTAACACATATATTAAGATAATTTTTTAATTTGAAAATTTTAATGAACTTCAATAACATACATACAGAATAAGCAACAAAGTGTAGGTGTACAGCTCAATAAATTTTCACAAAGTAAACTCAGCCATGTAATTATCATCCAGATCAAAAAATAGAGTATTTCCACACTGCTAAAGGCTCCCTCATGCCCTTCTAGTCACTACACATTTCTCCTAATAAATAACCACTGTGTGAACTTCTAATACCTTTGTTGAGTTTTTCCTGTAGGAAAAATCATTTTTCATTTCTGCACATTATTTATTTGGGTAAATGAAGGAGGTAAGACGAAAACATATCTTCAGAAGTATTTTATATTCCTCTGTAAGCGGAACTTGGTGACTTAATATCATTTTAATTCTTAGAACCTAATGGATAGCTTCTGGTTATAATATAAACTAACTTTCAAAGGTCGAAGTCACTAACTCATGTATAAGTAAATAGAACATGTATTTAAGATGGAATTGCCGAGCATCTTGGAGGAAATTTGCAGGTGAAAAGAGATCTGGACTTATAAACATTGGATCACCCAGATTTAGACTGCTTTCATTTATAGATTAAATGAAATTTAGCTGCATAAGTGACGTCGCTATAATATGAAATTATCATAATTTTCCCATTTCCAAGTCCTCAAAGTGCTTTCCAGGTATTAGAGTTGTCATACGTGGACATATTTCTATAAAATAAAAATTTTATTTTTACTTTATAGAGATTGTTCAGTGAATCTGGAGTGGTCATATACCTTACAGTTTTGATAAGTATATCTGATGTGCTTATTTATGTTTTAGACAAGGTATTGAAATGGAAAAAGTGATGCAGGAATTGGGAAAATCACTGACAGATCAAGATGTAAATTCACTGGCTGCTCAGCATTTTGAATCCCAGCAAGTAAGTGAAGAACAATGAATCTTAGATATGTAGTTACGTTTTTTTAACTTATTTATTTTTGTAAAAAAATTAACTAGTTAGTATACTGTCTCTTTTTAGGACTTAGAAAATAAATGGTCAAATGAATTAAAACAATCAACTGCGATCCAAAAGCAAGAGTATCAGGAATGGGTAATAAAACTTCATCAAGACCTAAAAAACCCCAACAATAGCTCCCTCAGGTATTAATCATTATATTATTATTATTAGATGAAAGTTCATTGTTATTAATAATTTCTGTTTATTGAAAATTTGAACCTTTTTGGTTGTAGATATTTTTAAATTACCAATGAAAATTCAAGATAATTTTATACTTTTAAAAAAGTCTTTTGTTTTATAAATTTTATATGAATTGTGTATGTGTGTGAGGGGGCGTTAATTGTTTTAAATAGCGATTTCTCCCCTAGAACTTAGGTTTATAAATATCTTAGGTATGTATACCTAAAAATCGCAAGTACTATCTCTTGTTTCTTTAAATTGGTTTCCATAGTGTAACAAACGTTGATTGAATGAATCCTAAATGTTAAGCACTCTCTAAGCAAAAAATAAAAATGATACCTGCTCATGTGGAGAGACTGACCTGTAAATAAAACAGTGTGGAGTAATATGTACAGTAATAGAAGCATGCACAAGGTACAAAGATAGTATAGAGCACGATTTTCCAATTCCCAGGCTGTGGTCCAGTACTAGTGCATGGCCTGGTAAGAACCAGGCTGCACAGCAAGAGATGAGCAGCCAGTGAGTGAGCAAAGCTTCATCTGTATTTGCAGCAGCTCTGCAGCGCTAGCATCTCTGCTTCAGTTCCACCTCAGATCATCAGGTATTAGATTCTCATAGGAGCACCGATCCCTAGTGCCAAAAAGGTTGGGGACTGCTGGCTTAGAGGACTTTCTGTAATTCATAACTTGTATGGTACTTTATGGCCTAAATACCTTGTTTTCATATATAGTCCTAGAGCTTAACAGTGCCTATCTTATTTCCTGGCTGTATATTCATGTATTTGAGAATTTCTTAATTCTTTCAAACCCTAAAGTATATTTGGCAATGTACTTAGTACAATATAATAATCCTATTTCCCACACTTACTTCTGTATAATAGAAACATTTAAAAATAGCGTTTCATTTGTATAATGTCAGTCTCCCCCACTAGTCTTTCCTTGAATACAAAAACCATGTTTGTTTTCTCTGCTGTTGTATAACCAGATCTTGCCAAGTGTCTTGCTCTTGACACTGGCACAAAAGAATACTCAATAAATATTTATGGACTGGGTGAACAAACAAGCAGATGGATGGATTATCATTAAACTGTTTACCTGATATCTATGTCACCTCTTATCTAAGTATTTATAATCTTCCATTTGCCCTATTGTTTTCCCCAAGACAAGACCTTAGAAATATTTAAACAATTTTTTATGGTTTTGATATGGGTTAACATTCTTGACACTAACATATTTAACTCTACTCCTCATTTCAAATGAAAATAATGATGAAAGGGGGAAAGATGGACTGGGAACATCCATATGCTATAATATACAGTGGTGTTTTTTAAACTGCTAATTATGCTCCTTATTTCAAATGAAAATAGTGATGAAACAATACAAAGGGAGAGCTATGGGAAAAGACGGGTTGGGAACATCTGTGTGCTATAATGTACAATGGTGTTTCTCAAACTTCTGGTTGCAGTCTGCAAAGGACCATTCAAGATCTTTTACCTTCCAATCAGACTTCTAACATAACAATAAAATGGAATGGAGCAGTGTAGAATAGAGTAGAGTAGAATAGGGAAAAAATCAGAGTGCATCATGCATTAAGCTTTCTATAAATGAATGTGTGTACTGAGCCAAAATGTAAAATATATACTGTACATTGTGGTCAAAAATGTGGAAAGTAACTGATTGATGGAAGCTGAGGAAACCCCTTGCTGCAAAAATCGTCTCTCACTTTGCTGCTGTAATTTCAGAAATTCAATCTATAGGGTAAATTTCATTGTGTAAATATTAGCCTGTAGCTGCTGCTGCTTTTAAAAACCAAATATTCCTAGGAAAGAATATTTTTACTATGACTTTGTTAGTTTACTTTCCTATATTGATAGGAGTTTCCTTGTGCAACAAAAATCTGTTTTCAACACAACTACTTATAGAACTGCTATATGAGATTGATAAAAATTGTATTTTATTTTTGTTCATTTACTTTCCCCCCCCTTTTTTTAGTCAGATCCGTTGGAGGATAAATTGCATAAAGTAAAATTCACCTGTTTTAGATTTACTTTTGATGAGTTTGACAAACTGAATTAGTCATGACCATCACAGCAATCAAGATATAGCATTTCTCTTTTATACCTTTTTTATTCTTTTTGTACTTTTATAGTTAATCTTAACTTTTGCCCAGTTCCTGGCAATCTGATCTGGTTTCTATCCCTGTAATTTTGATTTTCCAGAAGTCATATACATTGAATCATACTGTGTATAGCAGTTTGTGTCTTCTTTCACTCAGCACAGTGCTCCTGAGACTCATTCATGTTGTTCCATTTATGAGCGGT